ATGAGGTTTAAATATACTTGGTTTCCTTACAGGAGGTATTGCATATTTAATTCTACTTATAGGATGACAGAGTGCATATATCCAAAATATACAAAAGTAGTGTTCACTATTTTCACCAGTAGCTTCTCCATGGCTCTGGTTTATAGCTGTCCGTTCCCAGAGGAAGGCATGTGCTCATACCATTATATTGTTGATTTATGTACTAATGTGGGACTTTGTACCGTCATGATATGACTGCATTGGGAGCACATCTAAGTTCCTTTTCTTGTAAAACATCATTGAGGAGCTATTGGCTGATCAGAAACTATTCACAGTCCTTTAGAATGTGGACTACATCACAGAAGAATTTTAATATTGTACTTAGTTGAGAAGACTATAGTGTCAGGAATAGAAACGTGTAAACTTGGTAAAAACACTGTTTAGGTTCCCAGATTCCCCTTGCCTCCCTTTAGAAAGTTATTTTACTAACCTTGTTTCCACCGCTGTGCTGGTGTAGCTGGCTGAGATCATCAAATCTGACAATCTTATCCAATCCAGTGCTTTCCCATAGGAAAGCATTGGGAGGCTATTGTGCTTGCATGGCAAAATGCTAAACTGCTCAAATTAGCATCTCCTCACAGAGATGCATTGAATCAATGCATCTCTGTGGGGAGTGTCCAGCATCTCTATGCAGAGCATGGAGACCCTCAATGTCAGTGCTGCACTGCCCCAGGAAGCACCTCTAGTGGCTGTCTGAGTGACTGTTACTAGAAGTGTTACTAGGTAGCAATGTTTTCTCTGAAAAGGCAGTGTTTACATTAAAATGCCTGCAGGGACATAGAATGTAGCCCATGGAATAGGCCTTGACAGAGCCAGGAGGTAGGCATTGCAGCCACAGGAAGTTAGTGACAGCTAGCATGCTGGGTAGGGCGGAGCCATAAGTGGAGTATTTATACCGGCCATTATATGAAGTGGCCATTTTCACTGAACCTAAGCTTACCTGTCAGTTGTGAAAGCTGCCCTGCCCTGGAGGGAGAAGGCAGCAGCATGGAGGCAGCATAGAAGAACAGAGCAGTATTGAGGCAGGAGGCAGCATGGAGGTACAGGAAAGGATGGAGTGAGCTGCTGCTGCATGCTCACTCCCATCAGCCTCAGACAGAACTCCAAGCAAGCCACCATCCTGGACACAAAGGTTGTGGCAGAAATCATGGCTGGTGGCTGCAGGAGCAGCTGGGGGCCCCGAGCACGTCTGCTCCCCCACCCCACGTGACGACGGAACGGAGGCAGGCAAGGAGAGCGAGGCCGCCCCAGTGACAACGGCAGTTCGGCGGCGCAAGAACCTGTCAGGAGGCGGCAAGGGGACAGCTGAAAATGAGGTCGGAAAACAGGCGGGAGTTGGAGGGCGGCCGGCGCCGTCTGTTCGACGCGGGGTCAGTCAGGCAAGGTGGTAGGCCATGATGAGGACGCACAGGAAGAGCGCCCCCCTGCCGTAAAGCTGGGCCGGGCCGTTGTGGACATACCTTACGGTCGCGGGAATCCTACCGCACGTCTTTGCTTGGGCTGGAAATTGTTTCGGTGGTAGAAGAGTGTCGATTGCCCGGGGATCAGTTGACTGCACTTCGGGAGCTCAGGGTGAAGGTTTGCAGGTGCAAGAAGGTCATGCTGAGAAATCGCAGTTGTTCATAAGGCAGTTTCAAGTTCGCATGTCGGGTTAGTCGCGAGGAATGGGTCTGTAGCCGTTTCATGGCGATGGCTACTTGTGGAGCCTTTGCGGGTGGTATCGAGTTGTTCACGGATGCCTCTGGGAACATTCCAGGGCATACCTGGAAGGCAGGTGGTGCGCGGAGCGGTGGCAGGAGGCATGAAAGGTAAGTCCTCTTATTCGAAGTTGGCATCTTTTGAGTTATTTCCATTGGGAGTGGCCATGGCTCTAAAAGGTGAAGGATTAAGGCGTGAAAAGTCATAATTCACGGACAATACAGTGGGGTTCATGCGGTTTACCATCCAGCCGGATCCTCGGTTCAGGAGGTACGCCGATGGCAGTGATTCGTATCACTGTGCAGGTCTTTTAATATCGGGTGCAGGCACACCACGTGCCTGGTTGGCGGAAGGTAGGGGCTGGTTACTTGGTTCGCGCACAAGGGGACAAGCTGCGAATGGCGGCCCCAGGGGGAGCGGGAGGAGGGACAGGCCGGTCTGGAGGAAATGTGGCAGCTCGAGATGCCATGCTTGGAGGATCGATGCAGAATCCTATGGCACCAGGCATGGGGACTGCCAATGTGAAGGTTTGGGATATGTGGGACGAGACGGTCCCAGTCAAAGGAGGGGCGAAAGGATATCTTGCTGTGGTTCCTAAGCCGCTTGTTCGTTCAGCGTTAGCGGCAATGGACAGGAGCATGGCGGCATTGGCGTTAGGGTTCAAACTGACCGATTGGGAGGAAGTGACGGAACATTGTCACATCCGTCAGGCATCGCAGGTCTTACTGAGAGGTATGAAATATGTCTGTGCCGGGCGGCTGGTTTCCTTGGGTAACGCAATGCCTGGTGGTGTGTTACTCTACTTTTGCGGTGGTCTTCTTGGGGGCTTGGGGCAATTTGGATTGGGGAGCTGGTGAGTGCTGTCAAACCTCAGTCAGTTAACGTAACGATTCGTTAGGGTTGTACAAGAACGGATGTGTCTGGTAAAGGAGGTTTGGTAAAGCTATATTCCCTGCTGCTTGGAGCTTTGCCCGGACATCCCGGGTGGCTTACTGGTAAAAGGGGACGGATCGGCGCTGTCACGATTCAATTCCCGCAGGGGTTTGTTCGGAGGGGTTTGACAATGTTGGGTTTGTATCCCGGGCACTTTGGGGCCCATTCTTCCCAGATAATAGCGTCGTCAGAGGCATCCCGTCTGGTTTTAAGTGAGGACCTGGGGAAACGTTTAGGCAGGTGGGAGTCAGTACGGTTTAAGTCCTGTTTACGGCCGGTCTATTTGGTTTAATGGCTATGGACATATGGGTTTGTGTTTGGAGCTATGCCTTGTCTCTAATTACTTTCGTTTCAGGTTTGGTGACATGGTTGGTGGGCGACTCTTACATCTAAGGGGCGCAGAAGGGAGCCGCGGTTCGGGTCAAGCGCAACTGGGGTTTCCTTTGGAATTGGTGGAGCTGGAGTGGTTTTGGTTTTCGGGGGTATTGGTGGCAAGGCATTAGTGGATAAAATTTTCCGGAAGATAACAAGGGGTACTGTCCAGGACATTCTGGTAATCCGTGAGGGCAGGAATGATATCGGCATGGTCCCGGAAAAGGAATTGATCAGGTGGAGGCAGAGGGAGGTGGACCGGCTATGGGAGCTGGCCACATGTGTGGTGGTGGTGCGGTACGAGATGGTTCCTCGGGTACATTGGAGACATACTAGGTACCCGGCCGCGGTGGCTCGGTGTCGAGGATGAATTAATAAAAAATTGATGGCGGTATTTATCAGATGTGGGGGCGGTGTAACAGTGAGACACAACGAATTTGGAGGCAAGCTTATACCGGTGTGGTGGGGGTCGCTCAGGAGCTTTAGGTGTCAAGTCCTGAGCTATGGCGGGGAATGGCCTGGTTAAATCGGAGGGTAGATGGAGGAGAAAGTGGGCATCCTGAGGTTTAATGTGGATTGGGCAGTGTTGCACGTGGTTGGTAGGTTCGAGCCCGTCGGTGGCTCCAAATCTGGGGGTGTGGTGGTGTCTTGGTACACCCTACACTGGAACTGGTGGGTAGCGGTGTCTTGGTACACCCCTACAATTGATATGGTGGGTAGCGGTGTCTTGGTACACCCCTACAATCGATATGGTGGGTAGCGGTGTCTTGGTACACCCCTACAATCGATATGGTGGGTAGCGGCGTCTCATTTATTCAAGCAAAGGAACCTGGTGGAAATGTGGTCATATTGGGCGGCCAGTTTCTGTTTTAACATGTTATTTAGATTGTTATCTATTGTTATTATTGTGGGGTCATTGCTAGGGGTATGTTATGTATATGGGGGGATGTTAACTTTAATAAGATTTGTTGGCAATGACCCCATTTGTTATTCCTTAATTATTTTATTAATAATTTAATAAAGCTGTGGACTAATTATTTCCAACAGTATAACCTGTGTCCGTGTTTTAATGGGGGTTTGGGTAAGGTTAGCGCATATGCCGGCAAATCCGACTGTGCACCTGTCAAGATAAGATAGCTGTACCTTTCAAATCTTTTATTCCCAACTGAGGTGGTTATTATGGTACAGATGTCACCAAAGTATCTAATGTTATGGTTTGTTTCTTGCACACCTCTGTCTACAAAACCAGCAAAACAACATTGTCAGCAATTTCCTTCCTAGAATTAACTGGTTTTAAGTCTCCTATGCAATCTATGTTTACCATCCGGACTTTGACCATCTATGTCCACTACGATACACTGGCACTAATGTGAGACTGGTGGCTCCGCAACTGAACAGCTCATTAAATAAAGACAAGTCCTAACATGCTCATTCAGTCCAGTGTTATCACTAGGCACTCATGGCACCATAATGAGTACAGAGGGCTGCATTGGTTATGGTGCTTGGAACGCTACTATAATGTAATGATGTTATATATAATGTCATAATGTTAGGTTTGTGTGAACGTTTGCATTTTCATTTCACAATTTTGAATACTAAAGTGAGTGCTTAACATTTACATTCACAAATATTTTTTTCGTTATCTTTCATATATAAAACACCATGATTCCCATTTTGTGGTGTGACTTTTGTTCCTTTGCTTGAATAAACAAGGATAGGCTGCAGCCAGGAACAGTGAAGGGCAAGAGTTCAAGAATCGTCTACTTCATCTCAGGAACTGCAGTGCTTTAATATTAAATATCCAAGCGAGTAATACTAAACCATTAAAATGCATTTACTATATATGGCAATGGCAAGTACAAAACAATGGCTCGGTTTCAAGAAGTCCAATTTCAGACCTAACACCCCAGCTTACCATCTATATTAAGCAAAACAAATAACATGACATGAAAGCTGCTCTAGTACCTCATTCTCATCCACTAATCAGTGTATTTAAAGTAAAATAATTCGTGTTCATTATTTGTGGATTGTGTGTCCTTTAGTTTGGTTATAGCAGGAGTCATGATGACTGTATATTTGAAATTCTGTTGATGAGCAATGGTTTTGAATTCAAACTTTTTTACATACTTTTTACATAGTCTGGTAGCTCTTTAATTGTGTAAATAGCACTTCTACTAAATATTAAACATATCAATCAAAGGATCAATACAGGTACATTAGATTTTCTAGAAAAAAATAGCAGTGTCACTGTTATGTCCAAAATAACACTCGAGCACAAGAACATTGGTAGATCAGAGGTTAAAACATAGCTTCAAAATAAGCCTGGAAAAAACACTCTTGCCAACAGATAAAAGGTACCAGCCACCTTGCGCATGTATGGACCATGCGTGTATTATTCTTTTAATGTCTTTTTTCCTTTTTTTGAAAACATAATGTATAAAAAGCCCTTAAAGATTTTAAGCTGCAAAACAAAGATTTGTCTTTGGACTTGCAGGTCCAGCTGAAGCCCAGCTCTAAGGCTATAAACTGTGAATTGACATTATTTGCTTGATCTGCGCGGCCTTTCTTCATAGGGAGGCAATGGATCAGGACATATACTAATGCAAGAGTCACTTGATGTCTTTAAAATTGCCTCTTCATAAGGTGGAGGTAAGCATATTGTTAAGAAAGAAGCATCAGGTACCAGTGTACAATATTGAAAAGGCTCCATGCTCCAAGGCAGAGTAGAAAAGAAGTCAATTTCCCTGTCTTGTATATTCTCCTGGAGACTTATGGCAAAGATTTGTCCCTGTGGGATCTTACGTCTACATCTCCGATAAAGGAACAACACAAAGAAACCTATAACAAGCAGGGCTGCTGTTGGTAATATAATACACAGAAATGGCTTTAAATCTTCTTTGGTTGAACTAACTTCATTTGGATGCTTGCTCTACAAAGAGAAGAAAGAATGAAATTAAACTTCATAAGTTTTACTGTAAACACTTGCAAATCCAGCTATGGCATAGGCATGTTATTATTTACCTCCTGCCTAGTAACATAAAGTTATACAGTAGTAACAAACCCTTGCAGACATGTTTCCATTTGGCTTTTTTTTCCCACTTACCTTCAGATCTATTACTGCCCAAGTACTGTCAAGTCTTAATCTTCTGAGGTTCATCAACCTTTCTAGACCAATAACTCACATCAACTTTCTTAAAGAACAACTGTCACCTCAAAACGTAATTTTCTTTTAATCAAATTGCTTTTTATTTGTTTTTTTTCCCCAAAGAGCATCAAATATTGCAACATACTTTGTAGCATAGCATATTATATTCCACAATTCAAAACATATAAATACAAATCTGTGGTGTTATACAACATAGTCTCGTGTACAGAGTAACGATATAAGTATGTATATTCCGTAAGGTTTCATCTGACACCATGAGAATTTAGCTTTCGTTGAATAACATAATGCTCCTTAGTGGGGGAGAACTCGGAAAAGAAAAGGGGTAAACATAGAAAATATGGAAAATATTAGGTTGTTTAGGCAAGAGAGTGAGGGGAGTTGGACAGCACCTCATAATACTGTAGCAATCAAGAGATGTACAAAAAATTCAAGCAAATTAAATAAAAAATAGTTGAAACTACTAGTACATGTGTTTATTTTTTTTGGACAAGCACAGACAAACTGCAAGCCCAACATGGGTTATGGGGTGTAAAGTTTTCTAGAGAAGTATGATTTACTTGACCAAATGTCCCATGCCTCTTTCCAGAAGTCCCTCTAGTTGGTAACTGCCCTAATCATTCTTTAATATTTACAGTTTACGGATATAAAATTAAAAACTTCAGGTATCTCTAGTGATGTAGTTGCTGCCCAATTTCTTGCTATAAAAGGACCACTAGAGTGCCAGGAAAACCACCTATGCCAATAGTTAATAGGTTCCCCCAACCCTCATAACCCCCTCCCGCCGGGGTTAAGGGGTTAAGCTCTTACCGTTTTCCAGTGCCAGGCTCCTTCTGCGCTGGGGACTCTCCTCCCTCTTCCGAAGTCATCCGCCGAATGCACGCATTCAATCAGTCCATAGGAAAGCATTTCTCAATGCTTTCCTATGGATGGCAGCGTCTTCTCACTGTGATTTTCACAGTGAGAAGCGCGGAAGCACCTCTAGCGGCTGTCAATGAGACAGCCACTAGAGGCTGGATTAACCCTAATGTAAACATGGCAGTTTATCTGAAACTGCTATGTTTACAGCTGCAGAGTTAACCCTAGATGGACCTGGCACCCAGACCACTTCATTGAGCTGAAGTGGTCTGGGTGCCTATATAGAGAGCTGCTATTAAGATACGAAAGTCTAAATGTCTCTGAGTTTTGGAGAGTTCTGTTGGCAGTTGAAGCAGCAAGAGGCCCTCCGGTGTGTTAGGAAGTTCTCTTCCTATACATGAAAACAGTTATATAAGTGTTTAGTAGCTATGCCCCCCGTATTATAGATAATACCTAGCAGCGTTATAAAACCTAGCTGAGTAAAAAAACAAACTAATACATTCACATTAGCATGTAATAATTACAAAATGCAAATAAAACTGGTAATAAAACGGTAGTAATGTTGCAAAATGTCCAATCAAGCAAGATGTTCAACAGTAGATATATCTAGATATGTTAAAAAGATACAAAAAGCTATATACAATGCTATTACTTATTAGGTTAAAAACCCTTACATGGTTTAAATGTGAATCATGTTTCATGATTCAAACAGGCATATACAGTGAAATATTCAGCATTGTTACTCATCGATCAGTTAGAAGCCTTTCATCTTATCTTTCCAGGCAGACACCTTTGGCAGTAAGTGCTTTGACATCCCTCCATTTGAACTTGCAGCATTTCGGCTAGATCCTTGGACATTTTCTGGATTTCTACTGCACCAACGGAGTGGTAATACTTTCAGCACACTGCTTATCTGCTACATATTCTGGACTCTGTTTGGATCCTTAGATGGAAAGTAGGATTTAAATACAATCTTTTTTTACTGTGTATGAGTTTTTTAAAGGATTTGGAGTTTCATTTTTACATGATATTAATAAACTGTGTTGCACTTTCTTTGCTTGGTTTGTATCTTTGAAGATATGTTACTGTGATCACTGCTTTTGGATACAAAGTTTACACAGCTTTAGAGGCATACAATTGACACACCATAGCAATCCGCTTTAGATGCACACAATTGGCACACCATGACAATTACTTTTAGAGGCATAAAATTGGCACACCATGGCAAACAGCTTTAGAGGCAAACAATTGGCAAACTATAGCAATCCGCTTTAGATGCATACAATTGGCACACCGTGGTATCCGCTTTATATGCATACAATTGGCACACCGTGGAAATCCGCTTTAGATGCATACAATTGGCATACCATGGCAATCAGTTTTAGAGGCACAAAATTGGTACACCATGGCAATCAGCTTTAGATGCATAAAATTGGCATAACATGGCAGTTTTAGAGGCATACTTTTGATATATCATGGCAGTTTTAGAGGCAGAAACTTTGCACATCATGGCAATCAGTTTTAGAGACATACAACTGCTTACTCACAGACTCAGTATCAGAAGTGCTGTTGTCCTGCTCTTTCATCCAGGCACCTCACGTTGATTATCCCAGTGGTAGAACTAATGTAGAGAGGACCCTGGTGCAAGTATGTTTTCTGGGCCCCCCTCTAGTGAAAGTGTAGCCAAAAGGTAGATCTCCATCTGTCGAAGAACTTCAACAATGCTATACCAGATGGGGATCTACCATTTGCACATCATTGCAGGGTTATATTTGTGAGCAGTGTTTGAATGTAAGCATGTTTTTGTATTAAATATATGTGTGCATGTATGGGTGTATTTGTATGTACTGTTGCTATTGGAATGTAGTAGTGTACTTGTTTGTAATGTTTGCGTCTGAATGCAGGGGTGTTTGTATATGTAGTGTAGGACTTTAAATGCAGGTGTGCTTTTTGTGTGTAGTGTTGGTGTTTGAATGAAGGGGTGTTTGTAGTTCATTTTAGTGTTTTAATGCAGGGGTGTGTTTGTATGTAATGTTTGATTGCAGTGTGTGTGTGTGTAGTGGATGCAGTGTGTGTTCCAATATGTTGGTAGGACCATTCATCCTTTACATAAAAGGATATATGAGCATATTAACAATATCCGAAAAGGCTTCGATCGACATAGCGTCTCTGCACATTTTAATAAGTACCACAATAAAGACCCTAGTAGCTTAACTTTTTTAGGGATACAAATAGTTAAAAAATCCTGGCAAGGAGGAAATTACATACAACAGATAGGGAAAGAAGAGATGAAGTGGTTACACAATTTAGAGATTCTTGAACCTAAAGGACTTAATATAGAATTTGATTTATATAAATATTTTATACATTTTTGTAAAAAAGATTTATAAATGAATAATCTTTTATAAACAAATATTTATTACTGCCCATTTTAGGCATTTAATATATTACACCATCAGATATATATTGTTTGCAATATTAATGCCCTTTTTTTTCTCTCCTTCTAAGTAGGTTCTTAGTGTTTTTTAATTTTTCACTGCCATGTTTTTTAAGTGTATTTTGTCTTTCTTTAAATATATATTATGTATTTTGATGTCCTTTATATATATATATATATATATATATATATATATATATACATATTTTTTTTTTTTATGTAATGTCTGGGACACTTCATTGTTTCGTGATTTTTGTCAGAAACAATGTTAAGGTGAAATGCCAAAAAATTGTGGACTTTGTACATTTGCATTAAAATATGCAGTCACTCAGACTTTGAGTTACTAGTAAGAGCCAATGACGAAGAGACCATTACACACCACGTCCATTATGGCAGCTTCAAAAGAACAGGACAGCTGAACTGTGACGTGATCTGAGGAAGCCGCCCAGGTGAAATGCGTCATCATGTTTGTGTGTACAACGCCATCACGCCATCACGCCATCACGTGGTTGTACGAAGAACTCCCTGCAGTGCTGACAACTTTGCAAGACCGCTAGTGCTAGTCGCAGTTTTGAAAGACTGTACTACTAAGGGGTATGAACTTCTACATGGGATAAAGAGCGGTATCACATGTGAACTTTCATTTATGTGGAAATAAAGCATACTTTTATATTCAGCTGCCGTCCTGATTACCTGCCAATATCCAGTCCTGTATTTAGGACTTAAGACAGAGAAGTTAGAGCAGACTTTTACTGCTCTCTCATTGTGAGTTTTGTGGCAAACCTAGCCACTTTAGATTGTGCTGTTATTTGTCTAAAGGTTGTCCTAGAAAGCTGGTCCAATTGTATTAGTTTATGTATTTGCTGATAACTGTAATAGAGAGCATTCATATGGTAGTTTCACGAACAGTGACTGTCCACACTGTTCGTGAAATGAACAAAGTACTGAATGGGAGCCCACACACAGGGGGTTGTGTGACTCCCATTAACCGATTGCAACATTGTAGCAATCGGCTGCTAATTGATTTCCCGGGTGGCCATCGTTCGACTACCGACCACGAGGCGGCGGCCATCTTGGATTTCCCTTTTGCCCAGCGGTGCTTGGTGTCGCGTGCCTGGAACTAAAATCGGCTACTCGACGGCACGAACACCACTGGACTTCCAGGCCGTTCGGGAGTGCCGGTCTTTCGGTACTTTTTCCTCAATTATGTATTTGTGTCTTTTATGATGAATGTATGTTAAAGTATATTTCGTGCGGCGTTTGGCTGATTGTGCTGGGATCTGAGCGGTACTTTCACTAAGTGTGCACTCAGACCCCAGCTATCTGCTGAACGGTCATTCGGTACAGTGACATGAATAAAATGAAAGTTATGGATTTTTATGTAAAAAGCCGGTTCTGCCGTACGGAGGGATAATCCACTACAGGATATTCTAGTGGGAGTATCCCTCTCGTACAGCAGTGCATGGTGGGAGAAATGTTCTATATGTTAAGTTTCCCCATGTAGTCCCCTACTGTACAACCCCTGTAAAGTAATTAAGGAAACCCCTTGCATGGGGAACCACATAAATACTGGAGCTTGTGAATAAAATCGTCGATTGACTCCCAGAACTGTGTTTCGTCCGGTTACTGGGGGATTTGGGATATTGCCTTCATTTTCAGCACTTTACTTGGATTACTTTCTGTACCAGCGGAGATATTGGGATTTAATATTGCAGCTCCGTTACAAGTTTTATTTCATTTTTTTCCCTTTTTCTCTTTTATGTATTACGTTCCTATGTATCCCTGGAAGGAATATTGTGACACTCCTATTTTAGGATACTATTAGTAAGTTTCTCTAGTATATTTATCACTTAATACACTTGTGAATTTTTACACTTACTTAAATGATTGATTTTGTACTGTTTTGCACTATATTGTGTAATGCACGGACACTTTTGCACTGTGTTGCACTCTTTTAGATTTTAAAGGTATAGCACACCTTTTTTATTTTGTATTCGGTTAATTGGTTGTTTTTGAGCTATTTCACTGGTAAGGTGCCGCTTTACCTTTTTTACACGCATATATTTTACCATTGTATTTTAAATTTTAGCGCCTTCTTGCTTGTTTCTTTTTTTTGTGTATATTTCTTGTATGTTTTATAGAGAGCAAAAAAATAAAAATACAAGGTGCAAGAGAGTACTTAGAGTAGACAACAGTTCCAAGTAGCCTGCGCTTTGGTAGACCTCACACTGGTTTTAGCTCATCTTGTGTCATTTGCATATCAGACTGATCCCAATAAAAAGCTCAGTACAAATCCGAAATGCAGCTTGGATCTCTCTGTACGAGAGATACAGCAACAATAGACGATTGTTAGGCCTAACAAGGCCAAAACGATCGTTTGACCTACATCCAGAATGAGATCTAGTGGGGACCCATTGAAGGGCAAGCTAATTGCACTGTTCATTCTAAGTATTGTCTTACACCCTGCTACTACTGCAAAGCTCCAGGTAAAGGATGAAAGCCTCTACAGCACCACAGAATGACCAGGGAATGTTCTGTCTCCCCTCCCTGGCCACAGGTAAGAAACAGGAAGGGGTAAATCAAATAATCAGGGCTGTCTTTAACGCGGGGCAAACACCCCTCGGTCCAGATACTCCGGGGTAGGGATCGACCAATATTGATTTTTTTTAGAGCTGATATTGATAATCTGTGAATTTTCAGGCCGATAGCTGATAACTTCCCGATATTCTGTACATTTACCATTTTGAAAAAATAAACTATTTTTAAAGTTAAATGCACAAAATATACATGCCATATGTAGTGGATGCAGTGTGTTTAGACAGGGGAGCTGTGTATGTTTGTGTAGTGTAAGTGTAGTGGATGCAGTATGTATTTGTGTAGTGTGTATATAATAACAATACAAGAAATGGTGGATTGGCGCTATAGAGCCAGAGAATCTGCAACTACCCCCAGTGCCCAAAATCACTGAATGGCACTCAAATACAAAGTGATAGAAAAAAGAATACAAGGGGGGTGCACATAGAGCAATAAGAAAGTATATTATACTTAATATAAGTAGGACACCTCCTAACAGGATGTTTGTGTAGTGTGTATAGTGAATGCAGTGAGTGTTTGTGTAGTGTGTATATATACTGAATGCAGAGTGTGTGTGTTTGTGTAGTGTGTGTATAGTGAATGTAGTGTGTGTAAAGTGAATCCAGTGTGTGTAGTGTATGCAGTGTGTTTGTGTAGTGAATGCAGTGTGTTTGTGTTGTGTGTATATAATGCAGAGTATGAGTGTGTGTTTCTGTAGGTATGTAATTTGTGTAAAATGGGGGGGGGGCATTTTTAATTTTATTAAAATATATATTTTTTTAAATACATTTTTAGTCCCCCCTCTCTGCTTCTTACTTGGCCAGGGAGGGGGGCTATGGCATTCCCTGGTGGTCCGGTGGCAAGGACCGTGCAAGATCTTACTTACCGTCCCAGCAGCTCCCTTGTCTAACTCTCGCGGTCTGCGTGGTGCGTGGAGCATTGCCATGGTAACCTGTGGCAACACTCTGACGGCCGCGCAACTCACAAGATTTACATAGGGGAGCTGAAGGGAGCTGCTGGGAAGGTAAGTAAAAGCTTGCTGAGCCCCCCAGGACCGCTGGGCTTGTAATGGGCCTGGCGGTCCTAGCATGTATTATCAACAATATTGGTATCTCTATAGGACGATACCGATAATCGGTCGATCCCTACTCCGAGGGGCCCCAAAGCAGCTGCCAGGAGCGCCATCCCTAACTCACAACAGCCTCAGCCACCACTCTGGACACCAGGAAAAGCACTGTTCAAGTTTGGTAACGGGATTGTAGGTTTAAACGTGTGTGAATGTGTGTCAGTATGTCTGTCAGTTATGTGTCTGTGTGTGTCAATATGTCTGTCAGTGTATGTGTGTGTCAGTATGTCTGTCAGTTGTGTCTGTGTGTGTCAGTATGTCTGTCAGTGTGTGTGTGTGTCAGTATGTCTGTCTTTGTGTGTCAGTATGTCTGACAGTGTATGTTTCTGTGTGTGTCAGTATGTCTGTCAGTGTGTGTGTATGTGTGTCAGTATGTCAGTCAGTTATGTGTCTGTGTGTGTCAGTATGTCTGTCAGTTATGTGTCTGTGTGTCTGTATGTCTTTCTGTATGTCTGTCAGTATGCCTGTCAGTGTCTGTGTCAGTCTATGCGTGTGTCAGTATCTCTGTCAGTGTGTGTGTCAGTATGTCTGTTAGTTATGTGTCGTGTTTGTCAGTGGATGTTTCTGTGTGTGTCAGTATGTGTCAATGGATGTTTCTGTAAACGTGTGTGAATGTGTGTCAGTATGTCTGTTAGTGTGTGTGTCAATACATGTGTCAGCATGTCTGTCAGTGTGTGTGTGTGTCAGTATGTCTGTCAGTATATGTGTGTGTCAGTGCGTCTGTGTTTTAAAATATCTGTCAGTGAATATATGTGTCAGTATGTTTGTCTGTGTGTGTATGTATCAGTATGTCTGTCAGTGTATATGATTGTATAAGTATGTCTTGCACCTCTCTACTTTAGTTCCCCCCACTGCGTTAGGGTGAAAAGTGTGATTGCATGCCAGGGAGTAGAGGCTGGTGGGGGGGCAGAGTCCAGGGGGCCAGGCAGGGCCAGATTAACAGCCCAGTGGGCCTGGTGCTGACAATTATGACGGGCCTAATTAAAGAATCATATTGACCAAAAACACTAAAACACTCCCAAGCGTCATGTATCTGATGGAGATGGTGCTGGAGAGAAAGAAAACAGCAGCTATAAGAAAACACATACCTTAGGCTAATCTATCTCTAATTTATGTTTTCATCTTTCAAGTAAATCCATAACCCCTAACAGCAGTGTCCAGACAAGCAGGAAGTCAATGGGCATGGTAAAAGGGTGTGCCACTGACACAAATCACGTAACCTGCCAAAAGGGGCGAACATGCCCAAAAAGAGGACATGTCTGCCCAAAGAATTTGAAGGCCAGCCTGGCATGAATGCATGTCAGACTGCCTGCCAATCATGCAGCTGGCCAACTAAGGGCATACTATGCAGACAGCACCCTGAGCTTGGCATAAATGCATCTAATGATGCGCTCGCTCAACGCTTTCTAAAGGACTGTCCCCTAGCACTCGCTGGTCCACTTTCTCCTTACCTTCTTACTAGCAGGCAGACGCTCCTGGTATATAGTCTGGGACAGAGAAAAGCTGTATGTAGTGAGTGTAGAAGAAAGGGAACATGCCACAGTGTTAGAGAGACCAAAGTCAGCATTACCTTAAAAGATCACTATAGGGTCAGGAACACAAACATGAATTCCTGACCCTATACTGTTAACACCACCATCTAACCCCCCTGGGCCCCTCATGCCTCCATAAATATAGTAAAAATCTTACTGTATTCAAGCCTGCAGCTGTAAGTCTGCATGCTGTTAGACTTATGCAGAGTTACATCATTAGAAGTGGTGGCCTGATCCAATCACAGTGCTTCCCCATAGGATTGGCTGAGACTAACAAAGAGGCAGATCAGGGGCAGAGCCAGCATGATTCAAACACAGCCCTGGACAATCAGCATCTCCTCATAGAGATGAATTGAATAAATTAATCTCTATGAGGAAAGTTCAGTGTCTGCATGCAGAGGGAGGAGACACTGAATGTTTGGATGTATTTTAGGCAGCCATGACCCAGGAAGGATCTCTAACAGCCATCCAAGGAGTGGCCAGTGAAGTTATCACTAGGCTGTAATTTAAAAACTGCATTTTCTCTGAAAAGACAGTGTTTACAGCAAAAAGCCTGAAGGTAATGATTCTACTAACCAGAACAAATTCAATAAGCCGTAGTTGTTTTTGTGACTATAGTGTCCCTTTAACTATATTCATTGTCAGCCAGTCCTCACAAGTTTTGTTCCCATACATCCCTCTTAAGTTTCCATACTTAAGTAAGAGTATGTGAAAAGTAGTTAGGGTTGCCACCTTTCTTGGAAAAACATACCGGCCTTACTAATTTGCATAATTAAATATGTATGGATGACATCAGCCCCTATGTTAATCCAGCCCTGGGGCCAGGGTCCTATTACTATTATAGACGGCTCAGCAAATAATATTAAAATAAAAATAAAAAGCTGCTCTCATCCTCCACAAAACTCAGCCTTATCCTACCCTTACACAAACTGCACATAGAAAGACATGCAGCCCTTACGCATTCAGAAACAAACAATACATCCCTTACACAGAAACACACAATGAATCCCTTACACGTAGAAACACAGTATGCATCCCTTACACACACACACACACACACACACACATACATATACAATGCATTCCTTACACATACATAGAATCACACAATGCATCCCTTGCACACACATATAATCACACAATGTATCCCTTACCAGGGCCGCCATCAGAAATTTTGGGGCCCCTAACACAGCTCAAGGTCTGGGCCCCCCTTCAAGCCTGCCTCCAAATCCCGCCCACAGGAATACACACACACTAACAGATACAAATACTGAAACAGACATACACACATGCATAGGGAGATGCTGAGACACACACACATATACAAGCAGACATACATACTGACAAACATACATATACATACTGCATATTGATATATACATACATACCGACAGGCATACATACATACATACAGACACACACAGGCATGCATACAGACACGCACTGGCATACATACACACACAAATTTTGGGGCCCCTAACACAGCTCAAGGTCTGGGCCCCCCTTCAAGCCTGCCTCCAAATCCCGCCCACAGGAACACACACACTCTAACAGATACAAATACTGAAACAGACATACACACATGCATAGGGAGATGCTGAGACACACACACATATACAAGCAGACATACATACTGACAAACATACATATACATACTGCATATTGATATATACATACATACCGACAGGCATATACATACATACATACAGACACACACAGGCATGCATACAGACACACACTGGCATACACGCACTGGCATACATACACACACACATACACTGGCATACATGGGCATACATACACACACTGGCACTGGCATACACACACATACACTGGCATTCATACACTGGCATACATACATACACATACACTGGCATCCACACACTGGCATACATACACACATACACTGGCATTCATACACACATACACTGGCATACACACACTGGCATACACTGGCATTCATACACCGGCATACACACTGGCACACACATACACTGGCATACACAATGGCATACACACACTGGCATACATACACATACACTGGCATTCAGACACTGGCATCACACATACACTGGCATTCATACACCAGCATACACACACACATACACTGGCATTCATACACACATACACTGGCATTCATACACACATACACTGGCATACACACACTGGCATTCATACACTGGCATTCATACACTGGCATTCAGACACACATACACTGGCATTCAGACACTGGCATACACACACATACACTGGCATTCATACACCAGCATACACACACACATACACTGGCATACACACACTGGCATTCATACACTGGCATTCAGACACACACTGGCATTCAGACACTGGCATACACACACATACACTGGCATTCATACACCAGCATACACACACACATACACTGGCATACACACACTGGCATTCATACACACAGCATACACACACACATACACTGGCATACACACACTGGCATTCAGACACTGGCATACACACACATACACTGGCATTCATACACCAGCATACACACACACACACACACACTGGCATTCAGACACTGGCATACACACATACACTGGCATTCATACACCAGCATACACATACACATACACACACTGGCATTCATACACACACACTGGCACACACATACACTGGCATACACACACTGGCATTCATACACACACACTGGCACACACATACACTGGCATACACACACTGGCATTCATACACACATACACTGGCACACACATACACTGGCATACACACACTGGCATACACACACTGGCATTCAGACACACATACACTGGCATTCAGACACTGGCATACACACACACACACTGGCATTCATACACCAGCATACATACACACATACACTGGCATACACACACACACATACACTGGCATACACACATACACTTCATCCCCAGCCACCCTCCTCTCTTCCTTACCATTTCGTCGCAGGAGGGTGGCTGGGGATGATGGGCATCGGCTGCCTCTCCTCATGCTGCGTCCTCCTTCCCGCGCGGAGTAAAGTGGGAGGAAGTGACCGGACGTCACTTCCTCCCAGCAGCACTTGCTTCCGGCTGCATTTTATTTATTTTTTAAAGGGGCCCGGTCGCGCTATTACAGCGCTAAACGGGCCCCTGAAGATAATAGGGCCCATTGGGTGGCCCTAAATGATTGGGGCCACCTGATGGGCCGCATCAGCGTGTGGGCCCCGGTGCAGATGCACCGGCGGCAGTTCCGCTGATCCACGTGGGGGCCGGGCCCCCCAGGGCCGCCGGGCCCGTGACAATTGTCACGGTTGTCATGCCCTGATGGCGGCCCTGTCCCTTACAGACAAACAATAACACACACTGTGTCCCTTACCCACACAGAAATACACAGTGCATCCCTTACCCACACACACAAACTGCATACCTTACTAAGAAGCACACACTGCATGTATTCCTTACACACATACACTCTGCATCCTCTATTCACACTGCATCTCCTATACACATATACTACATCCCCTAAACACACAGATTAAATCATCTGCAATAAAACACAACATTTCCCAGGGCACACATCACAAGTGTTTTTGTAAAAATATGGGGATAAGTAAACATAATAAAAACCCTTTAACAACCTTTGAATTTAGTGAAAAAGACTGGTAGATACTTCTAGTCAAACTGAACAAATATGGATTCTAATGCTATAGTGCCATAGTCACGTTTAGGTCACAAGGCAAGTGCTGCCAGGGTTTGGAACGGTTGTGTACTTAATTATTATCACTCGCAGCGCTGGTCTCCTTGCTCAAAGTCCACCTATTTTGCTGAGATTTATTAATGATCTCATCCAATCCAATGCTTTTCCATATGAAAGCAATAGAGGCTAAGGCACATGCTGAGCCAAACTCTGAGACAATTTGTTATTTCACAGAAGTGCCTCTAGTAGCCTCTCATATTGATGGCCATTTCAGGTAGGCTAATCCTACACAGAGAGTTACAAATAAAAAGAAGATATGCAGGTACACATGATCCCCTACTTGGAAATATAGTAGTCAGATATGCAGTAGAATATATGCAGGCCCTGGATCCCCTACTTGAAAATATATAGTGGTCAGTTGTAGGTATTATAGGGAAAAATGTGAACTAAAGTAAGGGTAGGTATCTAGAGATTAGGAAGCTATAGAGTACATCCAGTCAGTGCAATCACAACCTTATAAGGTTAACTCCTATGTATAGAAAAGAGACTCTGATCATAGACTCAATCTCCTTCCTGGTTAAAAATGATTTAAAAAGAGCTTTATTAAAATGGCTCTAGTTGAGTATAAGAACCAGGAATGGTATGGGTGGTATTTGAATAGTTTCTTTGTAGGATTATGCAGAAAATATAATCAATATGAACCTACTGTGACCCAACACAAACGGGCTGCGTCTCAGTGGTCCAGAAGTATGGTATGGGTGGTATCTGAATATAGGTGGTTAGACACCTCTATTGTCAATCTGCCAATACACTAAAGGGATAAATTCCTCATATAATGGAGAAACGCCCCTAACAAAGGTGCATGTAGCATTGCTCCAAAACGATCGTCGGCGTTTGAAGCTTTTAGTGTTCACTTTCTCACTTTGATTTTGATTCACTTTTGATTTAGCATGGTACTTTAAATATTTATTTTCACCTCTACTTTTTCCTATGTTTATTTAGTAAGATTAACAGGGAGAGAATCTTTGTAACAGTTTAACTTTATGCCAGTATTTTACTGACACTAGAACCTATTTCTTTTCTCTTATTACTAACTAGCTGTGACTATCTGAATACTTATTTAGCAATACACAGCCTCTGGTATATAAATCCACTGGACCTCTGGTATATAAATCCATATAGGTGGAAACCGGGGGACTTCTTGGGATCTAATCTTAAAGGTTGGAAAATAGGGGATCCTCAAAATTGCTAAGGAAACCTTAGAAATGTCCTCACTGAACCCCACCAACACCAGGCAAAGTGTCACAGCCCCCGGCTTGCCGCGAGGTGCGATCGCACCCGACTGGCACGACAGACTGAGCTTACCTGCTCAGCGTTGAGTCGGGAGCCGCTCCACCGGGTCTTCCTGGCAGCCTGCCCGAAATAAAGATGGCACCGACCATGCGGTCGCGGCTATCGATGACTCCGCCCCGCAGGGTTACACGAACGTGTGTGTGACGTCACAACGCCAACACACACGTCTAACCATTTACAGTCTAAGGAGGGATATTTAAATCCCTTAAGCTTTCCAGTTCTTTGCCCTGTTGTGGTTTCCTGTCCTGGTTCCCGAGAGTGCATTTTCTTTTCCTGTTATTGCTATTCCGGTATTTTGACCTTGGCTATTCCTGACTACTCTGATTTCTGGCTTCCCTGACTTGCTTGTTTAACAGTATTGTGTATTTCTGGCTTCCTTGACCTCGACTATCCCTTAACCATTTTTTGTCTTTAACGTATTAGTCGGGCCATTCTAAGGACCGGTTTACGTTCTATCATTTTCTGTTCTGTCTATGTAGATGTTACATAGTTCTGCGTGCTGGACCACACTAGCAGTTGTGACACAAAGGCGACACCACCCCCAAAATAAGAGCTCTGTATCCATACCTATCTAGCCATAGAAGCATCCATGGGAGGCTTAACAGAGTTCAGGCCATGGGGACATTCCTCTATGGGGACCACCTTGGTGGGAAGTTACTCAGCTTACAAAAACACTTGACTCTGTGGTAAGTACCAGCACACTGAGAGCATTCATGCTGGAAGTGTCAAGATGCCGCCCACAGGCCCTGACTCTCATTATAGAGCCAGCATAAACTCTTTGTAAACCACGATTAAGCTCCTAGCACCCCTGGTGGGATTCCTACTGATGCCTACAAGGATTCATAAGAATCAGTCAAAGGCTGCCATTGTATATCAGAAGCGTGGTTACAGCTACAGTTACAGGTTACAGCTAGGAAATCAACCCTGCCTGAACCTTACACCACTATTAAAGCAATTGCGGACCTATCCATTGACCATGTCACCCATTACCTCAGCCCTCTGCCAACAATATGCAGTACCAATGGGGACACCAGAAAAGCTTCTTGCCCATCATCAAAGCACCCCGCACTCCATCACGCCTCCAGTGAGAGGCCGACGTCAACTCTAGGATTGGGGCGTGCTGATATATACGCTGCAAAAAGAGGTCCCTGACAAAGTCCAGAGGATGTCACCAGAATGGACTTTAAAGAAGCCTTAGATAGTGGGTATCGTATGTCATTATTGATGCAATATGAAGACTCTAATTATGCATTGACCCATATTGGTCCAAATTCATTCATTTTGCACAGGCTGATTGCCTATGGTTATCAGCCAAGACAAAGTATCAAAGGGAAAACCAGTGTCGTAGTTGAGGAAAGCCAGGGGTCAGGTCAAGCGGCATGGGTTTAGAGATGATTAAACAGGTGTAGGATCAGGTACCAGATAAATCAAACAAGGCAGGATAGGCACACTGAAGTTAACACCACAGTAAGCACTGTATTACTGAGCAATGAGGTAGAGGTAGACTGAGATTATCCATCTCTCACATTCTGTTGGTTAAAAAGTGATTAGTCCTTTAAACTATTTCAGGTGTTCAGGAGTACTGTCCCTTTAAGAGGCCAGCGTTCAGGCGCATGTGCCTAGTGAAAGTGAAATTACACATGGTTTTGGCTGGGACTTCAAGCGGATCACCGCATGTTGTGGAGAGCTGTGGTACTGCGTCTATGTGTTTGCAGGGATGCCGGTTGACTGCACACGTCGCTAGGCAAGCTGGAGTCCTTGGCGTGTACTGAGAGGAGATTGCCTTAGCCGTGGGCGGAGATGTGGTAAGTGACCTACAGGTAGGTGTGGCCGTGTCAGTAGCCCCCCTCTATGATGCCGCATGTCTCCACAATTAGGGTGCTGGACAATCTGGATGTGAAGAATGAAAGGACGTGTACATTCTTTGCAGGTTCCCAGGATCTCTGCTCAGGACCATAGCCCTTTAAATGGATGAGGTATTCCAAATTCCCTCTTCGTCTTCATGAATCCATAATTTCTTCTACTTTATATTCAGCTTCACTGTCTATCATGACGGGATTGGGTGGTGGTATGTCTCGGGTAGGAAAAGGGTTTTCTTTAACAGGCTTAATTAGTGAAACGTGAAAAGAAGGATGAATATGGCACTGATGTGGTAGTTCAAAACGTACTACAACAGGCAAATAAGTTTGGGAATACAAAGGTCCTATGTATCTGGGACCTAACTTTTTGGTTGGACAAGATAATTTTAGATGTTTCGTGGCCAAACAAGTTGATTCTCCTTGTATACAGGGGGTGTTGTTCTTTTGAGACTAGCATATTTTTTGTATATTCGTTGGTTTTCCTGTAATATTTGTTGAGCTTGTTGGAATCTTTGTGTAAATTGTTGTAAGTGAGCAGTGACATCTGGAACTGGAGTGAGGGAAGGACTCCCGGGAAGAGTATTTGTATGGAAACCATAGTTTAACATGAAAGGAGAACTGTGGGTGGAACCATACTGCTTGGAGTTGTAAGCGAACTCAGCTGTAGTGAGCACATTTTTCCAATCAAATTGTAAGTGGGTACAGAAGCAGCAGAGATATGTTTCTAGAGTTTGATTTGTCTTTTCAGTTTGTCCGTTTGATTGGGGATGAAAGGCAATCAAAAGGTCTACTGGAATCTTGAGAGATTGACAAAACGCTCTCCAGAAACGGAAAGTAAATTGTGTTCCTCTATCCGAGAGAAAAGATTCGGGTACCCCATGTAGTTGGAAGATATTATCAAGGAAAAGAGAGGCAGTTTGTTTAGCAGTAGGGAGTCCTTTCGCAGTAATCAAGTGTGCCATTTTTGCCAGGCGATCATCTACAACCATAATAGTATTATATCCTTATGATGGTGGCAGTTCTACAATGAAGTCAATTGTAAGATGGCTCCAGGGTCTAGATGGTACTGGTAAGGGTTGTAGTAAGCCAGCTATTTTAGATGTGTGACCTTTAGCACGAGCACAAGTTGTGCATTATCCAACATAATCGTTGATGTCATGTTGGAGAGAGGGCCATCAGAATTGTCGTTGGATGCTTTGAAGTGGTTTTCATTGTCCCCCATGGCCAGCCAAAAGAGAGTAATGAAAGTAGTACAGTACGCTCAGACGTTTTTTCTCCGGTACCCATAGATTTTCCAATTTGATAAAGGATAGCCTTCAGATGAAATGGGGAGTTGTTGTGCCTAATCCCCAAATTTGTGAACATCAGTACCCAATGAGGCCTAATAAGCACCTAATATGGTCTGTAGCGATACTGACGGGCACACTTCCCTATTCGTGATGAGGAGGTTGAGTAATAGGCAAATGAAATTACAAAGAAACCAAGAAGTAGTTAAGAATTAACATCATACTTTATTGAATACGCTGTATCCAAATCACTCTAATCTTAAAATGCATCTATTGGTTATTAATTGTGCATGCATTCAGCTTAATGGTCAATCAGCTTGATATATCAATATCAGCTTAAGTATCAGCTTAAAATCACCATAGGAGTAGTTCATTGTCTCACTGCACACGACTGGGAGAACTTGGACAGTCAGGCAAGAGGGACCTGCTCTGCTGGGAAACAGCAGAGGACCTGGACCATGTGTCTGCGATGCAGGTTGGTAGCTCTCATCTGAGTGTCAGGTTGACCCGTCTTCTATACCTTTTACAAGGATGGGCAGTCTGAACATGTCCTCCTTAGATTCTCTTATCAGTGTAGCCCAACAAAGACCTGTCAAACACGTTGGATGGGGCTGGCTGCTGATCAGGTTGATAAGACCCACCAAAGACGTCATGTCATGTCTGTGCGGTTAGCTTATCTCTTATCTATCGTCTAGCACTATACTATTTTCATGATGGTACGCAGCCCCTCAATGTCGAGCCATGCTGATGCTGTGTTTTATGACTTTACACAGTTTTATGCTGTGTCATTCCTGTCAGCTTAATTATTAACTGCCACATCCAGACCTGTGTCTAGTGCACTGCCTGTCTGTGCTTATGAGACCAGCACCATCTTGTCTATCTACTTAAATTAATTTCAAATTTGCTCAGTAGTGATCAGTCAATTCCCAATATTATTACTTCAGGAGTTTATTGGAAGGGGTAGTATTTTGGATTTCTTGTAAGATATGAGACATGAGGCCAACGAAGTGATGATTCTGTAGGATGGTTTCATTCTGTTTTGATTTTCAACAACTGTCAGTTGTGTGAATTCTGGAGAGAGCATCAGCCTTTAAGTTTTTTGATCCAGGACGGTAGGTGATAAGAAATGAAAAACGCAAAAAGAACAGCGCCCACCTTGCTTGATTGAGACGTTTAGCAGTTTGGACGTTTTCCAAGTTTTTATGATCGGTATAAATAATTATGGTGTATTTAGCCCCTTCCAGTAGATGTCTCCATTCTTCGAGTGCTGTTTTAATAGTCAGTAATTCTTTATCTCCTACATCGTAATTAGATTCTGCCTCGGTCAACTTATGACAGTAAAAGGCTATGGGTTGCAATTGTCCAGTTGAACTGTCTCTCTGTAATAATACTGCCCAAATAACCGAGTTAGATGCATCAACTTCCAGGAAGTAAGATTTTTCTGTATCAGGTAAATGAAGGATAGTTGCAGTGGGGAATAGGACCTTTAGATCATCAAATGCTTTCTGTTCTTTTGGAGTCCAGTTCCATTGTGTTTTTTTCTTGGTAAGATGAGTGAGAGGTTGGATTACTTTGGAAAAGTTACTGATGAATTTCTGATAAAAATGAGCAAATCCCACAAATCATTGATTTGTTTCTTGATTTGGGATATGGGCCATGTAAGGATGGTGGTCACTTTTCGAGGATCCATTTCAACTTTGCCTGGTTTGATGAACGAGCCCAAAAATTCCACACACTCTGTTGCAAATATTCTTTTTCCGTTTTTGCATATAGATTGTTTTTTCGTAAACGTTTCAACACTTAAATGACATGGAGAAGAGGAGTATGCAAATATCATCTAATTAAATGACCACATATTGGTCAAGGAGATCACAGAATATGTCACTGAGAAAATGCGAAAAGGAGGCAGGGGCATTACACAGCCCATAAGGCATGACCATATTTGTGGTGACCTTAGCAGGAACAAAATGCTGTTTTCCACTCATCTCCCTTATGCAGGGCCAGATTAACAGCCCTGGTGCTGACAATTATGATGGGCCTAATTACAGAACCGTATCGACCAAAAAACACTAAAACACTCCCAAGTGTCATGTATCTGATGGAGATGGTGCTTGAGGGAAAAAAACAGCAGCTATAAGAAAACACATACCCTATGCTAATCTCTCTCTAATTTATGTTTTCATCTTTCAAGTAAATCCATAACCCAAAACAGCAGTGTCCAGTTAAGCAGGTAGTCAATGGGCGCAGTAAAAGGGTGTGCCACTGACACAAATCACGTAACCTGCCAAAAGGGGCGAACATGCCCAAAGAATTGGAAGGCCAGCCTGGCATGAATGCAAGTCAGGCTGCCTGCCAATCATGCAAGCTGGCCAACTAAGGGCATACTATGCAGACAGCACCCTGAGCTTGGCATAAATGCATCTAACGATGCGCTCGCTCAACGCTTTCTAAGGACAGTCCCCTAGCACTCGCTGGTCCACTTGTCTCTTTACCTTCTTACTAGCAGGCAGAAGCTCCTGGTATACAGTCTGAGACAGAGAAAAGCTGTATGTAGTGAGTGTAGAAGAAAGGGAACATACCACAGTATTAGAGAGACCAAAGTCAGCATTACCTTAACTCATTTCATTGGCCACACAAGTTTTGTTCCCATACATCCCTCTTAAGTTTCCATACTTAAGCAAGAGTATGTGAAAAGTAGTTAGGGTTGCCACCTTTCTTGGAAAAACATACCGGCCTTACTAATTTGCATAATTAATTATGTATGGGTGACATCACATGATGTAAATCACAAGGAGTGACATAAGAGAAAATGCTGTAAAATCACCAAAAACTACTTGGTTTGATACTGCTGTATAGTCTCCCACTGTCCTAGTGTCCCCTAGTCTCCCAGTGTCACCAGGTCTCCCAGTGACCTTATGTTTCACAGTGTCTCAATGCCCCGTGTCTCCCTGTGTCCCCTAGTATTCACTTGTGTCTATTTCCCCATGTCTCCCAGGGTCCCCATGTCACTAGGACACTAGGAACATGGGAAGACCTGGGGACACGTGGAGACTTGGTAACACAGAGACACCAGGGACACTGGGAGACTAGGGGACACTGGCTGGGACACATGGGGACACTGGGAAAATAGGGGACACTTGAAGACATGTGGACACAGACACCAGGGACACAGACACTAGGGACACTAGCTGGGAGACATGGGGACATTGAGACATTTGAGGCACTGGGAGACATGGGGACACAGACACTGGGAGACTAGGGGGCATTGGTAGACATGGGGACACTGAGACACCTGGGACACTGGCTGGGAGACATACGGACACTGGGAGACATGGGGACACTGTGTCCCCATGTGTCTCTTTGTCCCCAAGTGTCTGTGTCATAATGTCTCCCAATGTCCCTTAGTGTCTCAGTGTCCCCATGTCTCCCAGTGCCCCCAAGTGTCTGTCATAATGTCTGCCAATGTCCCTTAGTATCTATGTGTCCCCATGTCTCCTTTAAACCTTTCCCCCCATCCCTCACTTGCATGAGCTGTAGGCTGTCTCTGCAGGGTGGGAGTTGCTGTCTGGACTCTCTGTAGCTGCTCCCCTGCAGATCAGTGAGTAGAGATAGGCAGGGAGGAATGTGCTGGAACTTCCTATCCCTGCCTCTCTCCACACACAAAGCGACCCCCAGGGCCGGACTAGCCCACCGGGATACCGGGAAATTTCCCGGTGGGCCGTCGGCACCTGGGGCCGGGCAGACACCTGGGTCTGCTGGAGGCCACTGGGGAGGTCTTCTGGGGGCTTCTGGAGGCCGCTGGGGGACTTGTCCTGGCGGCCGCTGGGGGGAGATGCGCTGGCTCTGCTCTCCAGCTCGCAGCTGAATGAGACTGGCGTCGGAATATGACGTCATATTCCAGCGCCGGTCTCATTCAGCAGCGCGCGAGGGTGGGAGAGCAGAGCCAGCGCATCTCCCCCAGGGGCCGCCAGGACAAGTCCCCCAGCGGCATCCAGAAGACCTCCCCCTGGCAGGTATTAGTAATGTGTCTGTCTGTCTGTGTTATGGTGTGTCTGTCTGTCTGTATGGTGTGTGTCTGTCTGTGTCATGGTGTCTGTCTGTATGGTGTGTGTGTGTCTGTCTGTCTGTCTGTGTCATGGTGTCTGTCTGTATGGTGTGTGTGTGTGTGTCTGTCTGTCTGTGTCATGGTGTCTGTATGGTGTGTGTGTGTCTGTCTGTATGGTGTGTGTGTGTGTCTGTCTGTGTCATGGTGTTTGTCTGTATGGTGTGTGTGTGTGTCTGTCTGTCTGTGTCATGGTGTCTGTCTGTATGGTGTGTGTGTCTGTGTGTCTGTCCGTCATGGGGTGTGTGTGTCTGTCTGTCCGTCATGGGGTGTGTGGGTGTCTGTCTGTCCGTCATGGAGTGTGTGTGTGTCTGTCTGTCCGTCATGGGGTGTGTGTGTGTCTGTATGTCCGTCATGGGGTGTGTGTGTCTGTCTGTCAGTCATGGTGTGTGTGTCTGTGTCATGGTGTGTGTGTCTGTCTGTGTCATGGTCTGTCATGGTGCTGGTCTCCCCTCGACTGGCCCTGCCTCTATAGCTGAGATCATCAAGCTTGATGATCTCAACCAATCCAATGCTTTGCCATAGGATTGGCTGCAAAACGCCACTCCAATCAGTATCTCCTCATAGAGATGCATTGAATCAATGTATCTCTATGGGGAACATTCAGCACCTACAGAGTGTGGAGGCCCTGAATGTAGGTGCACTAACACAGGAAGCACCTCTAGTGACCGTCTGAGTGACTGTCACTAGCAGTGTCACTTTGAAGCAATGTAAACACTGCCTTTTCTCTGAAAAGTCAGTGTTTACGTTGAAAAGCCTGTAGGGACATGCTATAGACACCAGTACCACCACATTAAGCTGTGTGTGTGCGTCTGCTAGTGAGTGAGCTTGCTTGCATGCGTGTGCCTGCTAGTGAGTGAGCTTGTGTTTTTATGTCAATGAGCTGATGTATATCAGTAAGATTGTTTGTCTATGAGGCTGTGTATCAATGAGCTTGTGTGTGTCATTGAGATGTCAGTGAAATTGCCTGTGTCTGCATGTGAGTATGCTTACTGTATAATTAAACGTTTTACCCTGAAAGGACCAATATTTTATATTAGAAAAAGATATATATATATAGTAAGGCGTAGCCTGGAATTGTGGGAGGGGTTACCAGGCTATAAAAGCTCAGGCCCCAGCCAAATCTATACTGGAATCGCTGGGTTCATCCAGAACCTTTGAACTTCCGGTTCAAACTCACCGACATATCGCTCCCACGTGGTCCGCTCCAGTCGAAGTGCCCCCTGCTAACCCTGTTCGGTACAAGCCCGGCGGTCTCCGTGCCCGGCATCAAGCGCTCCAGTCCAGCTTACTATCGGGGTCCCGGCGAACTCCCATCCTCCTCAGCCATACCCACGGCGGTTTCAGGAACAGGAAACATACCTACTCCAGGGTCCCAGAACCGTGAGTCTCATCCACACCACTCTCAGCCAGACGCCTGGCGTCCATTCACACTTTACACACCTGTCACTAAGGACTGTCATTCATACTTACCTTACCGCTCCGGGCTTCGTTCGGTACCGCACTCCACAGGCACATTCTCCCCCTGGCACTTACCCTCCAACGCTGGTCGGTAAACGGGCCACCCGGCTGAACTTACAAAAAAAAATTTTTTTCTCCTCTATACTAACAATACGCATGGCTGCTCACGACACCCCCTGGTGAAAAAACAAAAAACAAAAAAAAAAAACACAATTGTACATATACTTCTGCTCTTTGAAATGTTATATGTTTCTGTTTTCTGGTACACATTGGCTGCTCAGAACAACCCCTGACGGCAATACATATTTTTACACAATGTTATGCTTTTAAATAGTGTCTGTTCCTATTTCCCTCGCCTTCCTTTCTCCCTTGCAAAAAAAAACAAAAAAAAAACGACAATACGCTGAATACCATAAATTCTGTCACATGTTATTTGCCAACATTACCTACGCTTATATTCGTTACCTGTCACCTATACAGGTATTGTCTAAAACCTTACCCAGTCTAAACGGCAACACCTGAACCTCATCAGACATATACCTGTCAAAGACACACTCCGTCTTTGATCATACGGTAAGAAATAATCTACCCCATACAAGAGGTTGTCCTGTCCATTGCCATGTTCTTCATATGAGGTTCATTACTTAACTCCTTACGCCATCTCCTCAGGATTCATTTCTGGTTCATCAAAAAATCCATTTTCAACACCTTCCCTGATACTTGGAACTAGCATCGGACACCCATCCCTAGCCTACTACAGGTATTAGATTTATAAATTTACGCTTCACTTTGTCCTTAAGCCTGTATGTATATCTAAGGGAATACAAGAGATAACTTTAGCTTTTCCTCAGATTATTACCCCAACTGGCGTTCAAGCTATCATCTAGACAGCACCATTATTTACAGCATCACCAGGTAAAAAAAAAAAAAATATATATTTTACGTTCAAGTTCCGAACCAGTTTAGTCGCCCTTAACCACCTGTTTTATTCCACAGACTCCAAATAAAATATCCTCCAAATTCTACGTCGAATCTCGTACGTCAAACAAATAGGTACGGTCGCACCACTATTACTCCCCCCGACTCAAAAAAAAAAAAATAGGACGGTCAACTGGTGATTTTAGAGTACGGCCCCTAGCTAACATATTGTAAATTAAAACGATTCCTGGAGGCCAACACCCATCCTCATCGGAGGTATACGCCCCTCGACCCAACGCATAGATAGAGCCTCATGAAAACCACCCTTGGTTACCAGTTAGGGCCTCACCAGTCACAGCCAATTTAATCCTTTTTCTTGTTACAGTCACCGAGAGGCCAACGTTCCCGCCACATCATTAAAGTGGTCCCCGTCCAACCGGCCCTCCGCATAGATAGAGCCTCTCGCGCCACTTGGCACTAGCAGGGCCTCACCTTCCTCATAGAATAGTTAATGTTTCGCCTATTGGCATAGCTAGCACCAGTTGACTCAGGCAACTTCGCTCATTATCAAACTCCGTCTCTTACCCTGTTTTCAATTTTAGTATGTCTCAATCCCATGACCAAGAAGAAGAGCTGGCCATACCTGAAACCCCAACCAGACCTGCAACCCCGGCGGGCCCAAGCACACCCACTGAAAACCTAGAATCAGCCAGCCCATACGCTCTCAGGTCATGGACCATCCCCAAGCTCGCAGCCGAATTACGTCGCATGGGGGTCCCGTTTCCAGCTACAGCCCGCAAAGCCGAATTATACAAATTTTTCATATCTAACACGTGCACTCCCCAACCAGGAGTAGTTCTGCATTCGGAAAACTACAACGAGATCAAGGGTCTGATGTCATCCCTCTTGGCCTCAATTACCACAATCAGCGCTAGGCTGGATAAGCTAGAAACCCCGCAGATGACGACAGTCACCTCACCCATACCAACCCTCACTTCGTCTCTCCTCCCTCACGGTAATGACACTCCCTTAAACCCTATACCAAGCACATCCACCCACATCATCACACCTGCACATTTTGTACCCCCGACAATACGCAAAGACATTCTAGAAGGCAAGGACATAAACCTTGTATCTCTGCTGATCGCATCACAAGATGTAGTGGAAAACAAGGCGTACTGCTACGGTGATCTTTCGGTTGTGCTAAAAGCCAGAGATCCCAGGCTCAACCGGAAACTCACCATACCTGAATTCGTCCTTGCCTTCGGCCTCTACCGTGACGTAATCTGTTCCACATCCCCGCACCGTAGGGAGGAGTTGGACTTGTACATGCACAAGTTGGTGGACCTAGGGCATAAGTATGGGGGTTTTTCCTTCTATGATTATCATAAATCCTTTTCGGCCAAGGCAGCAGCATCCCTAACTCAATTTAACACTCATACCAACTGGAGTAACCTGGATACAGAACTTTTTTGCCGCCATTTCGCTTGCCAAAAACCTCCATCCTGTGCCCTGTGCGCCTCCATCTCACACTCCACCAACTTGTGCCCAGTCGATCCTAACCTTCCTACCACTAGTCGTGCTACCTTCGGTTCCTCCACGGCAGAACACAGAGGATTGAAGGACAAGTTGGGTAGACCCATAGTATACCTTGGGAAAGCACAGATCTGCAACAACTTCAATTCAGGAAGTTGTGGTTTTAGCTCATGCAGACTGCTGCACGTCTGCTCAATTTGCTTCAGGGCACATCAAAAACTATGTGCCCCAATCGTCTGTACCCAAAACAATGACTAACCGAAGTTAGCATTGACAACCTGGCATTTTACCTCCAGGCACACCCTTCCCTTCACTTAGTCAACTTCCTCATTCAAGGCTTCACTGAGGGTTTCCACACGGGCCTAGTCACACTTCCCACAGGTATTCTCGAATGTCCCAACTTACAGTCAGCTATCCTTGACCCAATCTCCACACAGTCACTGCTCAAGACCGAACTGACTAACGGCTTTATCGTGGGCCCCTTCGCTCACCCTCGGTTCACCAGCTGGCGTACCAACCCTATAGGTATCGCCACTGGGAAGTCCAACAATAAAAAAAAAAAAAGACTTATTTACGACTTGTCCGCTCCTCATTCTTTAGCTACCCCCAGCATCAATTCATTGATACCTTCAGAAGAGTTTTCCCTGCAATATACTTCTGTAGACAATGCCATTCAATCCATTCTTAGGGCAGGTGCGGGAGCCTGGTTGGGGAAAACCGATATTTCCAACGCTTTTAAGCTCTTACCAATCCACCCGTCCCTGTGGCATGTGCACGGCATCAAATGGGAAAACAATTACTACTTTGCCACCCGCCTTACCTTCGGAGCAAAAAGTAGCCCGAAATTATTCGACATATTTGCTGACACACTATGCTGGCTACTCCTCAATATCACTCACTGTCCCGCAGTTCTGCACTACCTGGATGACTTCCTTACGATAGTCTCCAGAAGACCTTGGCCCTATTTTCAACGTTGGGGGTTCCACTGTCTCCAACAAAGACAATAGGCCCTACCACAAAACTTACGTTCTTGGGTATTCAACTAGACACAGTCACATTACAGGCTAGTCTACCACGGGAGAAGGTGCAACATATCATTGAAATGATAGAGTATTTTCTGGTGAAGGACACGTGTACCAGGTCAGACCTACAATCCTTATTGGGCACGCTGAACTTCGCCATGAAAATTATCCCTCAAGGTCGGGCGTTCATCTCAAGATTGTTGTGCCTTCTCCCGTTACTCAATACTGACTCCAGCACGTTATCACTAGATGCTCACGCCAAGGCAGATCTACTCATGTGGCTACGGTTCCTAACTCATTGGAATGGGAAAGCCATGTTTATCACTCCTTTATCAGATTCCTCACCTGTCATCTGGACCGATGCAGCAGCTCACACTGGGTTTGCAGCAATCTATCGCAATGACTGGTTCAGAGATTCATGGCCAGTAGAAACCCTAGGTTTGCCCTCATTTCCCACTACATCTGCCCTATTCGAGATCTACCCGATTGTGGCAGCCGCCAGAGTATGGGGACACTTATGGCGGGGGAAAGCAGTAAAATGCTTTTCCGACAACAAACCAGCCTGTGACATAATCAACAAGGGTAGATCCTCCTCACTCACCATCATGAAATTGATCCGAAGGCTAACTTGGTTAGCGGCAACACTACAGTTTCACATCACATGCATCCACATTCCAGGAAACACCAACACAGCCGCTGATGCATTGTCTCGATTTAACTTACAGGTCTTCTTCAGGACACACCCCACAGCCAACTCCAGACCAGTCAGCACCCCTCCATTCCAAGACCTCATCCTGGACTAGAAAGACTGCTATCTCACAGCAGATATCTAGCCGGAGCAGCTCTATCCACAAACACATCTCGTGCATACAATCAAGCTTTTACCATATACACCAAATTCACGACACAGCATCAGATAACTGACACTCATTCTCTAGATTCCATTATTGCATTTATTTCTTTCTGCCACCTTAACCTAAAATTATCATTGAACACCATTAAACTATATCTCTCGGGTATACAACATCATATCATCAGTGCCTACCCTAGTTCTAAACCCTTCATGTCTTCCTACCCCGTGAAAAACATATTAAAAGGCATACTGAGATTAGACTCACCCACTACCTCTGCCAGACTGCCCATAGACGGTCCCAAGTTTCGCGCACTCTCCAATATCTTGGACTCCAAACCTTTTGAAACCCATACCAACCTAGTTATCAAGACAGCGACTTACCTAGCTTTCTATGGGTTTTTACGACCAAACGAGTTCACCACCAATAGTGGTTCATGTCAAAATCAACCCCTCAAAATTACAAATCTCCAGAAACACACAGATCACTACATACTCACCCTAGGTCACACTAAAACCAATCAAATAGGCCCACCTACCAAGATCTGCTACTATCCCACCGGCAATCAGTGGTGCCCCGTCGTAGTATTTGACACTTTCTTGGCTACTCTCACAGGTCTCAGTCAAAACGCCCCACTACTATCATTACAAGGTTTCCCCTTAACAACTGCCAAGTTCATTCAGTACGTCAGAACCTTGTTCATCCGACTCGGCCTCAACCCTACAGGGTTTTCTGGTCACTCGTTGAGAATTGGAGCTGCTTCGGCAGCCTCAAGTCACAACGTACCCTCTCACATAATAAAAAGATTAGGCCGATGGAAATCTGCGGTCTACGCCACTTACATTCCACAACCAGAAATAGAACTAAGGTCCGCATTCAAAGGTCTTGCTATGTAATCATGCATAATAAAGTGAATTGTTTACTCCTACCTTTTTGCCCTCTTTTATTACAGGCCTACCCCATACGTCGGTTTCGGCACACCACAACCGACTTCCATATTCTGGTATAATCATTACACTTCACGGCTTATGTCCCCGACTACAAATAGTAAGGCGTAGCCTGGAATTGTGGGAGGGGTTACCCGGCTATAAAAGCTCAGGCCCCAGCCAAATCTATACTGGAATCGCTGGGTTCATCCCTCCCACCACAACCCTCTATAACCTTTCTTGGGTGGGCCCTCTTTTATTACAGGCCTACCTCATACGTCGGTTTCGGCACACCACAACCGACTTCCATATTCTGGTATAATCATTACACTTCACGGCTTATGTCCCCGACTACAAATATATATATATATATATATATATTTATATATATATATATATATATATATATATATACTCAATCATCTGTCCTGGCAAGACATAGCCTTACATATTACACGCGACAATATATGGTGCAGTGACTTATGGGGCTGGCACAATTTTTTTTTCCAGGGCTGCTTTGTATCCCCAGTCTGGCCCTGGCGACCCCTACTGGCCATTGCACTGTAATCTCTGTTTATACTGAGAAAAATCATTTGTATTGCCAGTATGACTGCAATATCGGAACCGGCAAAGGCAGCCTCAAATACTGGCTGTGCCAAAAAAATAAAAGCCAGGTGAAAGCCCTAAGAGTAGTGTGTTAAATCAATGGGCCTATTCCATGGGCCTGGGCCTGGGCCTGGGGCTGCAGCTCCATCAGCCCCTATATTAATCCGGCCTTGCCCTTACGGACTTAAAGCAAATGAAAAGCACCATTTAGGTCCAGTTTGGTGTATATTTGTGCTGTTTGAAGACGTTCAATAAGTTCTGGAATAAGGAGTATGGGGTACTTATTCTAGATGGTGATGTGATTGAGATGTCTACAGTCCACACAGGGTTGCAGCTTCCATACTCTTTACCAACAAAACATATCCCGGCTTCAGCGGGGGAATATACTCTTTAAGGATTAGTAGTTCTTTTTTCAGATAGGAGGTATACTCTACCAAAAGGGATAGGAGCTCCTGGCAATAGATCAATAGGACAGTCGTTTTTTTCTGCAGGGAGGTAAATATTCTACTATCCTATTATCAAATACATCTCGATATGTATGGTAGGCCTCAGGAAGGATGACTTCTTGTCCCTTTTCCATGTTCACTTCCAATATGGAGTGTACAAAGCCTTTCACTGTTGTATCTACCAGATGAAGTTGAGAGCATTGTGGTGAAGAGAACATCAAGGATCCAGTGTAACGTGTAATCATAAGGTCATGTGTCTGTAGCCAGGGGATCACCAAGATGACGGGAAATAGAGGTGAAGGGGGGCAAAATCGAAGGGCAGAGTCTCTGTGTGTTTTCCTATTTTTACTAGAATAGGTTCGGTCTGTTTGGTGTGTGGACCAGAAGGCAAAAAGGACCTATCTACAAGCTGTATTTGCAATGGAGAGGCTTTATTCTGTACAGGTATAGATAGGGAACATGCAAGAGTTGAGTCCAGAAAACAACCACTGGCCCATGAATCAATCAATGCTTGACATTCATAGTGCATGTCATTCCACTGAAAGGAAAGAGAGACAGATAAGAGAGGAGTCATGGTGACCAGGGTAGAAGACATAGCAACAGGGTTGTATTTCTTACCCGGTAAATTCTTCAGTTTCTGAGGACAGTTATTCACCGTCTGGTTAGAGCGCCCATAAATTCTCTCTCCTTTTTCTTTGCAGTCCAGCAGGAGGTAGTTTTTATTGAGCCAGGTTCCACACACACTGCACCCCTCACACAGACACTGCACTCTTCACACACACTGCACTCTTCACATACACTGCACTTCTCACACAAACTGCACTTCTCACACAAACTGCCCTCCTCACTCACAGACTTCAGCACTCACACACATTGCATCTCTCAGACATTTCACCCCTCACACACACTACGGTACCAACACCAACTCCCATAAATTTACTAGGCCCCCTAGACAGACATACAATGAAGTGCTTAGACCCCAGAGAGGTTTGCATAAACTTTGGATAGATTTGTTTGGGACTGAAGAAGACTGTGGTGCAGAACTATGGGCACAAAAGAACTCCTCCAACTGGTCCAGCATCTGGGACTTCTTCAGGGCTGGATTTACATGCCAGGTGCCAGTAGGCACAACATTCTAAGGCACCCCCTGCTTTCCAACCTAAACAAAAGGCAGATAAAGTAAGTATGACAATGTTTAGAAACATCTAAAAAAAACATATTATTTGCAACTTTATATATCTAAATGTACATGCATATTTCTTCTCTGCTTTTAATATATTGTGTTTGAATCTGTGAGCATAGAGAGTAGAGTCTGCAGCTGTGTAAATGCAGACAGGGTTCACGTTAATGTTAGAAGGGGTTAGGGCAAAGAAGGAGTTGAATGTTAGAAAGGGGTTAAAGGAACACTATAGTGTTAGGAATAAAAACGTAATCTACACACTATAGAGTTGGGCTAGCTATTTAGGTCCCCAGCACTGCTCAGAATGCAGTTAAAAACTTTTAAATTAACCTATTCTCCATCTTGATAATCTCAGCCAATCCCATGCTTTCCTATAGGAAAGCACTGGGAAGCTATTGCGCCGCAAGATACAGCAATGCACCAATCAGCATTTCTCATAGAGATCCATTGAATCAATAAATTGAATAAGAAATTAATGTTCTTGGTGTGCCCTCAATTTTTCTCCCCCTTTCTTTAGGTACTGAAAACCACACAGTTGAAATTAACTAACCACTCCTATAATTAAAGGAACACTATAGTGTCAGGAATACCAGTGAATTTCTCGGTGGGCCGCAGCACCTGGGACCGGCTGGAAGCCTTGATGTGCTATTTAAATAATTTTCACTTCTGCTGGTTCCATTTTTGGGCTTGTTGATTCTGTTATGCTACTAGGGTTTTTAGAATTGGAACTCAACTGCAGCTTGTAGAACTCTTTAATTACAATAGTGAAGAAACTGAGAATCTTTAAATTATCAATAGCTTTAAGAAAAGAGAGGATTGCTGGCAATTAGAGAATCAAACAAAGTTTTAATGATTGTGATAAACTTAAGTGAAAAGCATATAGGTAATAATTCAATAAGAAGAAATTGCTGGTTATAGCAAACAATACAAAGTTCATCAAAAAGTATTTCCTCAAAGATGTATTGAATAAAATTCTTTAGGTTGATAGGAATAATCTTCAATAGAAATAGTATGCAGGTAGCAGAGAATATTTGCAAAGCAAGAAACAGTTCATAGTGGTTAAGCTTGATGGGAGTTATCCTCAATATAATTAGTGTGTATGCAGCAGAGAGGATTTGAGCAAGCAAGAAACAGTTCATTAATAACTGAGATTCCAGATAATGAATTGGAAGTTATACTTAAGAATAATGTGAGTTGTCCTCCAAGAGATCGGTATTACAGTCTACTTGTTAAATGGTAAAGTGTCCGTTCTCCAGTAATCCTCTAGCGGATGAAGCATAATCTTCAAAGGTTTAGGAAGGCTTGTGCGAGAAACTTGTGAAGCCGGCGTCTATACCCGGAAGTAGGTCCCACAATCACCAAGCACTTTCTCTCTGGCGCGGTCTCTCTAAGTAGTGTCAGAGAGCCGCGTCAGAAGGGGGCGGGGCTGGCTCTGCATAGCGGAATGCCGAACCTGGAAGAGATACCGTATGACATCCTTCATATTACATTCTACTATTCCACACTGCCTCGCTAGGCTCACACAAGAGCCCCTCATTATGCAATTATAGGTATTCAGATCTCTTTGATCTGTCTATTTTACTTAAATTAGTATAACCCACCTTCAACTAGATCTCATAATTCGCTACACACTAGTAAGCTAGTAAGCTAGAGATGCTTCTCACACATACTTCAGATCCTTCTAGTAGAAGGACGTACAGTGGGAACTCATATATAGCTTCAGTTCAATCAGCTATCTCTTTACCGTACTCATTTTGTTTGGCCTAGGTATATACTTATTGTTCTAGGTTCCCACCATCCTTACTTATCAACACAGGTGCGTTCTCAATTAGCACTTGCATCATCCTGGACATATCCCCATTGTGTCATTAGGTTCCTCTTTATGATATTGGGCAAAGTACGTATGCTCCAACATACTTTCTATCAATCCATTAAGTTTCTATTCACCTACATTCCTTAGGGATAAATCAAGTGGCTGCAAAGGGTTTGGTGCAAGACATTTTCTAGTATGTTCATAATTCAGTCCCGCGAGGCCAACACCCATCCTCACGCGGAGGTATTCATCCATCAGCCCAACTCATAGCTATGAGTTATGGCCACTCATTTGAATCTCTTACTTGTCACTGAGGGGCCAACATTCGCGCCAGTTCTTCGGTCCCTCGGCCAAAATCTGTAACGGTTTACCTTAGTGGGAGTATGGTATGCAGAGATATTTGCTCACCCTTGCAATTAAACACAGGCCAAGGTGGTCAGGTAAGAACTCACCAGGCCTGTGAGTCTGTGCACAGGGGCTGTGCAGGATAATGCTCCAAGTCGCAGTTCTGTTACGGACATAAGCAGGAGAATCGTCGTGGGTAAGCCAAAGGTCAGAGGATGCCAGAAATCAGGATAAATGAGGGTAAGCCAAAGTCAGAGCATGCCAGAAGTCAGGATACACGAATAACAAGGTCAGGAGCCAACTGGAGAACACTGGAGAACACTGGAACACAAACATCAATACAGGAACCAGAGTCAATGAACTGACACTGCCCTCAGGGAGATGCAGTGTCTTATACCTGGCTAATCAGTGATCAGCCACAGGTGAACCATGAGTGACAGGAGCAGTCTCAGGTCAATCCAGCCCCAGTGCTGGAGACATGACAAGGATAAGTTTCAGGCCAAGCCAAGAATTGAAGTGGCTCAGAGGCAGGAATACAGGCTGAGAACCATGAAGCACCCATGTTCAAATCCCTTGTTGGGCACTTCTGGGTTGATCTCGTCTGGCAGTCTGGATGTCACGGCGAGAACCGTGACATTACCCCCCTGTTTAAGAACGACCTCTGGCCGTGAACAGGTTCTTCGTAGAGGTCGGTGTAACAAATGGAGGAGCTTAACCTGTTTTATGGGGCTTTGCTAGGCATCAGTTCGGGACATTTGAAGCATCCCCATACGAATGCTAACTACCGAACACCGGGCCACCCTGCTTCCTAATTATAGGTAATTTACCTCCCTGATCCATCAAGTGCCTTCGCATAGAAAACCCATGAACGCTTTGCGAAGCGCCTGGGTGGCCGCCATTTCGGGACTTACACGTGTTCGTGGCCATCTTAACTCCCAAACAGCTGTGTTTTGCCATCAAGTGTCTGGAACTAAAATCGGACACTCGAGTAGGCGAACACCGCTGAGACCTCCATAGCACCGGGAGGTCGTTCGGTAGAAAGACTTTATAGCCTATGGGGATTCTGGCGAACGTCGGGTTACGCACGGATGGCAAGCCGTTTGGGACTTTTTACGCATGAACCAAGACCGACCGCAAGGCCAAAACTCATGGAACTGTTTTCGGCCACTTTGCCTGTGCGGTCGGTCAAAACTTTCAGGCTCCATATCTCCCAAACCGCTGAACCGAATGAGCTGAATTTTTACTATGTTGGTCCCCCAGAATAGGGCTATCTAGTATTTGGGGTACATCCAATCTTTGGGGAAAAATGTGTCCTTGTTAATTGTGTTACTAGCTTATCTGAGGGGAGGAGATGTGTGGGATGTACCTTATGTTTTATTGGTTGTGTTGTTAATTATGTGGGTGTCTCCCTTGCATGGGCAGAATCACATAAAAAGAGAGTGCCTGCCATTAAAAGCCAGTTCTTCTTGACCCTTCAAAACGTAGCCTTGTCTCATTCTTGAAAGGGAATTCTGCAGCATAATCACTGAGCTCTTTTAAGAGCTCTACCTGACTCCTGCCTTGGATCCAGTGGATGGGAATAAGTGACTCCATTACTATACAGCAACTTGCCAGGAAGAAAAGGACGTCTCCAACGGCTGATACTCTCTTACTACCTGGGTAGCCGTTACATTGGTGGCAGCGGTGGGATGGTCCTTTCATCCACAGCGCAGGTGCTGGATGGAGTCTCAGTATGCCAAACTGAAGAGACCTACCCTAAAGGATCTACTGGAGAGCCGGGGAAGGAGTGCCGTAACTGGCCACGGAGAGAGCTGATAGCAGACCTGCTGGAGTTGGACAAAATGGATCGGTCCATGGAAGTTACAGAACCACTTGCTCCAGTCAACGAGGAGGACGAGGTCGCCCGTATTGTGCAGAGGAGACTAGCCTTCTACCCAATGACATCAGTGGAGCCGATTGAGCAGCTGTTCCTCGATGCAAAAGCAGATATTCGGGAGAGGAGGGTGCACGAAATCGAACTGGTAAGAGCACAACAGCCCATTACACAGACAGTTCCTACTCCCCCTCCAACTACCACCACAAAGAAAGTACCTTTCACTGCATTTAAAGCATTTGTGGAGAGCGAAGAGGAGATCGATGGATATTTGGCAGATTTTGAGAGACAGTGCTCGCTACATCAAGTGCCTTCAGAGCAATGGGTCACTATTTTATCAGGAAAACTGTCAGGCAAAGCGAACGAGGCCTTTCGGGCTCTCACCCCAGAGGATATATTACAATACCAGCGGGTCAAAGAGGCGCTACTAACCAGATATGCCGTGACTCTGGAGGCTTATCGTCGCCGCTTCCGGGAATCCAAGAAAAAGGCTGTAGACTCCCACATGGAATGGGCCAACCGGCTCCAATGAGTGGCATCACACTGGGTTCGAGGGTGCAATGCCAACCCCGGGAAGAAGTTCTACAGCTATTTTTAATGGAACGTTTCTTTCAGGATTTATCGGCCGATTTACAAGACTGGGTATGAGACTGTCGCCCCACCAATCTGAACGAGGCGGCTCGGCTAGCAGATGAGTACGCCGAAACAAGGAAAGTTAGTACTCACCGACCAGCTAGCAGGATGGAACACCGTACCCCAGCTAGCAGCTCTCGGCCAGAGTTCCGTGCTCCTGTCCCTCCAGGACAGCCTCGCTCTCAGGGGTCTAACAATTACCCACGAGATTTGTCCAGAATGACGTGCCATCGCTGCAGCAACCTCGGACACATCGACCGTTACTGCCCTTTGGGATCGGCAGCCAACAATTGGAGGCGCACCTCACCGCCTGCAGAGACCGCTTCACCTCACATCTCTGCCACCTCACCTCGCACCTCTGCCGCCCATTGCCTGGAGACTGAAATGGGCCCAGAGGAATACATGGGCATTCTATATGAGGCAGACCCAATACAGACAGCGTCCCCAGATAACCGGCAGCATCATTGCGTCACTTGTATGACGTCCCCAGATAACCGGCAGCATCACTTGTCCCGGTCAAGTGGCTTAAGGCTTGAGGGACACCGGTGCGACCATCACCCTAATGCAAAGACATTTAGTCAAGCCGGAACATTTGTCCAACCGCACTGTGGCTGTACGTGTAGCGGGGGAGCTGTGTTTCGCTTACCTACCGCCCGGGTACATCTGGACTGGGGGGTCGGGGCTGGGAAAACCACAGTGGGCATCATGGGCAACTTACCTGCTAAAGTCGTGTTGGGCAATGATATTGGCCCTCTGGCTTCAGCCTACTTACCCACAAGCTGCTGCTTGCCCCGTGACCACTTGTTCACAAGCTCGTGCCACAGATGACCCCACACCAGGACGGGAGACCCAGGTAAGGAAAGAACCGACCCTTAGACCAGATACCGTAGAGAGACCTCTAGCTTGGGATACCCCAGAAGCATTTGGGAGGGAAACTAGAGAGGACCCAACCCTCCAAAAGTACCGGGAACTAGCAGACAGTGGGGGGGTGAGCGGGAATGTTTTGTATGGGATAACGACAGGCTGTACAGATTAACCGAAGGTAGGAAGGGAGGTTGTATTCCTTCGCAGAAGTGCCAACTAGTGGTACCCAGAAAGTACCGGTTGGAACTTCTCCGAATTGGCCATGATATCCCCTTGGCAGGACATTTCGGTGGTAACCGTTCAACTTACAGGATCACCCAGACCTTCTTGTGGCCAGGGATCTCAAAGGATGTGCGGCGCTACTGCAGCACGTGTGACGTCTGCCAACGAGTAGGGAAGCGAGGGGACCACCCGAAGGCACGATTGTCGCCCATGCCCGTGATAGAAGAGCCATTTAGTAGGGTGGCAGTCGATCTGGTGGGACCCCTACCTAACCCCAGTCCCTCCGGTAAGAAATACATTCTTACCGTGGTGGACTATGCCACCCGCTACCCGGAAGCCGTCGCTCTGATGAATATCCAGGCTGACACTGTCGCCAGTGCTTAGGACGGGATATTCACCAGAGTGGGGTTCCCACAAGAGATACTGTCTGACCGAGGGACACAGTTTACCTCAGACTTAACCCAACAATTATGGAAGATTTGTGGTATTAAGACCCTCTTCAGCTCATCCTACCACCCCCAGACTAACTGGCTCTGTGAGCGCTTTAACGGTACCCTGAAATAGTTACTGCGGACTTTTACTGCGGAGTACAGAGACTGGGAGCGATTCTTGCCGCACCTCTTGTTTGCATATCGAGAGGTGCCACAGGAATCCACTGGGTTCTCTCCGTTTGAGCTGCTCTATGGAAGGAGAATTCGGGGCCCCCTCAATCTCATCTGAGAGCACTGGGAAGGAGAGATGGAACATGAAAGCGCTAATCAACGCTCCTGTGCTATCTGCCCCAGTCCCTAACAAAAGATTTGTCGTCCATATAGATGCCTCCATGTACGGACTGGGGGCAGTTCTGAGCCAGATCGGGGAAGATGGAGGAGAACACCCTGTCGCGTACCTAAGTGAGAAAATTGTTACCCAGAGAAGTGAGTTACGCGGCAGTGGAGAAGGAATGTTTAGCCCTGATCTGGGCATTAAAGAAACTTACCCCGTATTTGTATGGTCAGGAATTTACACTCATCACTGATCATAATCCTCTAGTATGGTTGAATCGAGTGGCCGGAGATAATGGATGTTTATTGCGATGGAGCTTGGCGCTACAACCATATAATTTTTCCATTCAATATCGGCCTTGCAAATTCAACGGGAACGCAGATGGACTGTCTAGGCAAACCGAACTTCTGCCCTAACCGTCAGCCAGACAGCCCCAAGTTGACCCGAAAAGGATCAATCCGGGTCTGCCGGGGTGTTCCACAAAAGGGGAGCCATGTAACAAATGGAGGAGCTTAACCTGTTTTATTGGGCTTTGCTAATCCATCCGAAAAGTAGATTAGCGGTGCAGACTTTGATAAAGTCGGTGGCTTAGGTTCTAGGTTTCAAGGCAAACAGGAGCTAACAATCCATCTTGAACATCGAGAAATGAACTGACACTGCCCTCAAGGATAGGAAGTGTCTTATACCTGGCTAATCAGTGATCAGCCACAGGTGAACCATGAGTGACAGGAGCAGTCTCAGGTAAATCCAGCTCCATTGCTGGAGACATTGCAAGGATAAGTTTCAGGCCAAGCCAAGAACTGAAGTGGCTCACGGGCAGGAATACAGGCTGAGAACCATGAAGCACCCATGTTCAAATCCCTTGTTGGGCACTTCTGGGTTGATCTCGTCTGGCAGTCTGGATGTCACGGCGAGAACCAGGCCCGGACTGGCCATCGGGCACACCGGGCAAATGCCCGGTGGGCCGCGGTGGCCGTGGGGCCGAGGCCGGCAGGGGAGGTCCCAGGATCTCCCCTGCCGGTCTATGCAGGGCCGGCACTCTCCCAGCGCCGGCCCCGCTGTTTGCCACGACGGGCCGGTGGGGAGATCAAGGATCTCCCTGACCGGCCCACATGCGGCCGCCGGCGGGCAGAGAGGGAGCCAGGCTGGAGAGAGGACCCGGCGGAGCTCTAACTTGCAGCTCCGCCGGGTTCCTCTCGCGAGATCCGGTGCGTTGCCATGGCAACGGCCGGATCTCGCGTGAGTGAACTCTAGCCTCACAGGCTAGAGTTCACTCACCCACGAGGACCACCAGGGAACACTGCCACCCTGCCTCCCAGCGTGCCGGACCCCCCCTCCCAGGCTAAAGGTAAGAAGGGAGGGGGGGACATAATGACTGTTTTTTTTTTTTTTTTTACCCCCCCTACATACACACAATAACATTTATACAGCACTCTCACACCCATCACACAGAGCACTCACTCACACAGCACTCACACCCATCGCACACAGCACTCTCACACCCATCACACACAGCACTCTCACAGCACTCTCACACACACACAGCACTCTCTCACACAGCACTCTCACACCCATCACACACAGCACTTTCACACACACAGCACTCTCTCACAGCACTCTCACACCCATCACACTCACAGCACTCTCACACCCATCACACTCACAGCACTCTCTCACAGCACTCTCACAGAGCACTCTCACACACACACAGCACTCTCTCACACAGCACTCTCACACCCATCACACACAGCACTTTCACACACATACACAATACTTCCAAATATATATACACACACACACACACACACACACACACACTACACTCTTAAAGGACCACTCTAGCCACCCTGACCACTTCAGCTTAATGAAGTGGTCTTGGTGCCAGGTCCTTCTAGGGTTAACCCATTGTTTTATAAACATAGCAGTTTCAGAGAAACTGCTATGTTTATCAATGGGTTAAGCCTTCCCCCAAAGCCTCTAGCAGCTGTCTCATTGACAGCCGCTAGAGGCGCTTGCGTGCTTTTCACTGTGAAAATCACAGTGAGAGCACGCAAGCGTCCATAGGAAAGCATTATAAATGCTTTCCTATGCGACCGGCTGAATGCGCGCAGCTCTTGCCGCGCGTGCGCATTCAGCCGACGGGGCGGATCGGAGGAGGAGAGCTCCCCGCCCGGCGCTGGAAAAAGGTAAGTTTTAACCCCTTTCCAGAGCCGGGCGGGAGGGGGTCCCTGAGCCACATATGCATCACATTACACCACAAACACAACACGACTAAAACCGACCTTATTACACAATACCACACCACGACCAGCTCACTCTACACACACGCAATACCACAAGCAGGCTCCAAACACATGCACAATTCTCTTTCCTGGCCTTTTGTCTCCTGGTATCCATTTATAAAGACACCAGAGACAAGTTGCAAGGAAACACAGTGCAAGCATGTTATTAAATTTGCTTGCACTGTGCATAACAAATACAGGACTTTTTTCTCATGCTAGAGCTCTTCAGCAGAGCTCTGCGCATGGTCTGCCCTGGAAGAGAATTGACCCAACATGCTCACTTTGAGAGGAGGCGTGTTTGTCATTGGTGATGACAAAACACACCTCCTCTGCCCCGCCCCCTTTTTAGTGGGCCGCTGTGTTAAAAAAATGCCCGGGCCGAATTTTTCTCCCAATCCGTCCCTGGCGAGAACCGTGAAAAAAATCAAAGCTAGAGCCTCTCTGAGCCACGTGGCATTTAGCAAGGCCTCCCATTCCCCTTGTAAATCTAATTTCTTCGCCATCCGGCACTTAGCGAGCTGCCAGTTGATAGAGGGCTACAGTCTCATCAAGATGCCCATTATATTTACTCATTGTTTATTCATCATAGTATGTCTCTCACCATGAAACTAGAAGAGGTTATTTCATTCCCAAGTACCCCGCCATTGTACTCTGGTAAAGTACCAGGAAACCACTAACACAGTTCCTAAATGCTGCCAAACTCATGCATAAAGACTTACCATTCCCAGCAACAGTACTGAAGCCGAGCTGTACAGACTTATGATTCAATGTATTTGTGGTAACCCTCTCATGGTTGCTATTGACTGTCTGTGAGTGTTATACAATACATTATCATGACACATTTCTGACTGTTGAGGAACCTATACTCTAGATCATTCACAAGCCAATGGCCCCGTTTCTTCCTGGGTATTCCGTTACCCCAAGATATACCATAGTCCTATAAATGTAATATAACTAGGTGTACATCTTGACTTATTGTCAATACAGCATTGCCCCTCGTGGACAGTGTCCAGCGTATCAGGGAAGACTGAGTCATTCACTGGCAAAGGTTCATTTCCCCACTGACCAATGATTACCCTGTTATTTTAGCCATTATCAAGGACAACTGGTTCTTTGAAACATGGCCCACAGAGACATGAAGTCTACTCTTTTAGTAACCTTCAGCTCTCATTGTAATATACTCCATTGCGGCCACTGCACAAGCCTGAGGGGCTCTATGGGGGAGGAAGTCTGTCAATTACTACTCAAACATAGCTGTATGCAAAGTTACTTGGCTGGCAGCAACAAATCAATTTTCCCTTGTCTGCATACACATACCAGCCTGTCACACATAGCAGCTGAAGCGCTGTCTCAATCCCATTTCAGGTATTCCTTCAAACATTCCACGGCTGCTTAACCACATACTAAAACTTCTACATTCCAGGATTAGCTCATCTCATGGTCATGGTAGATTGCTGGCACATGCGGATCTCTCTGTTTATATCAACCATTTATATACCAGAACTCTGGCAAGTTTAATAAGTTCACTTCCGAATATCGAATCGTCAATCTGTACTCCATCAGTACTATGATGACATTCACATCCTTTTTCCACCTCAACCTTAAATTAGCTACCAAACACTTAAACTTATCTCATACCCACCTGCAGACATATACCTTCATACTATCAACAATAAATGGTGCCAGATCAACATACTAGACCAACAGAAGAGGGCTGGCAGCCTTAGGCCTGGGGGGCACTACCAAATCAGTTCACCATCCATGCCCACCTTTTCTTGGTTTTATAACGGATATTGATGTTATGCTAATCAGTAGCTCTTTGCCATACCCGCTCCTTCACGGCTCTGACTTTTAATGTTGTTAGAGCGCAGGCTGAGAATCTCTGAGCCTGTGCTCTGACTCACTAACTGAGCGCCGGAACCACGAGGGAGAGGATATAATCTGACTGCACCTACTGCTGGTGCGCACCAGTGGACCACCAGCGAATCGTTTAAATTGAATATGCTGGTGTCCCCAACTTGTGAGCTGTGTTGGCCGCCGGGCGCCTCTGTTGTCATGGCACCCTGCGTGACCGCACAGCTTGCACACCCCAACCGCTGGCTCTGCTGACACACACTGACGTTACTACTTAGATATCCCTCAATATTAATACAGACATCAGAGTAAACACCAATAAACTGTGGAAACAGAGCTGATCCCCCCCAAATTTATAAAGATTTGCTTACTGGATTTGTTGTAAGATTAAATTATGCCTCCTCCTCTCTCTCTCCCATGCGCTGCTCTGTAGGCTGGGAGGAAGTGAAGAGTAATCACATTCTCCCAGCACAGCGCCACCGGTGGCTGCATGGGGAACAGCTGTTTAATGTAATGCTTGCAGGACAGCCAGCTGCCGCAGACCCTCTTTGTTCCCGTCTCTGCAAAGGGCTCCAGGCACTGCTTGTTGTGAGTGTGAGCCACTGTAAATTAGGGGCAGAGGGCACTTGCACTGCGGTAAAGACAGGTCTGGGCATGAGGAGAGTGCAGTGCAATGATTTTTGCCGCCGTAGACAAAAGAAAAATTTGCCGCCCCCCCATGTGACATCACAATGCCCCACCCATATGATCTGCAATATGAACTAACGCCAGTGCTGCACACAGTGTGTGTTTACATTAAAAAGCCTGCAGGGACCGGCTATAGACACCAGAACCACTTCATTAAGCTAGTGGTTAGATAGTGTCCCTTTAATGTGAGGTAAATTATAGATTAGTGTCACTAATAATATACTAGATTGCCTACTTACAACCAGATGAGGATGATGATGGGTTGCAGTTTGGCTCCACTTGTTTGGTGTAGAATAGGATCTCTGGAGGCTGTTTGCAACTGTGGTCACAAAATTCAATGTTCTGTGAGAATTGGAAGCAGCTCCATTTTTTGGGGGCCCCTTACACAGCTCAAGGTCTGGGCCCCAGGGCCTGACGGTGAGTATGCCCATAAGGCCCACTCATAAGTCCACTTATATATTCCACCCACCCATGAGTTCACTCACAGGGAGTGGAGTGTGTAGGGGATGTGTTATGTGTTATTGTAGAGGATCTAATATGTGTGCTTATGGTATGTAGTGTATAGGGATACCAGTTTGTGTAGGTGATGCAGTGTGTATTTGTGTTTAAGGGATGTATTGTGTGTTTCTGGTTGTGTGTAAGGGATGCATTGTGTGAATCTGTGTTTGTATGCATAAGGGATGCAAGGTGTGTGTCTGTATGTGTGTGCATTGAGTGCAAGAGATGCATTGTGTTTCTGTGTGTATGTAAGAAAAGCAGTGTGTGTGTTTGCATGTGTGTGTAAGGGTTTGCATTGTGTGTTTCTGTGTATGTGTGCAAAGGATGCATTGTCTTTGTGTGTAAGGGTTGCATTGTGTGTGTGTAATGGATGCATTGCGTGTTTCTCTGTGTGTAAGGGAAGCATGTTGTGTTTCTGTGTGTGTAGGGATGCATTGTGTGTGTGTGCGCGTAGTGTGAAAGAGCTCCATGTTTTGCCCCCTGTCCTATAGAGCTGTCCCTTAGAGCTCTCCCCTGCTCCTTAGTGGTCTCTCCTCTCCCCCACCCTCCCTTAGCGGCCTCTTCTCACACTCACCCACCCTCCCTGTGCTCTTCTCATACCCCCCCATCACCCTCCCTGTGTTCTCCTCCCCCCCTCCCCCCTTGTTCTTCTTACTCCCCCCTTCTTCTTATTACTCCCCCTTCTTCTTACCCCCTCTTTTTCTTACACCCTCTTCTTCTTACCCCCTTACTCCTTCTTACCCCCTTCAGCCCTTCTTACTCCCTACTCTTCTTCTTCTTCACCTCCCCCCTTCTTCTTATTACTCCCCTTCTTTGCTTACCCCCCCTCTTCTTCTTACCCCCTTCTTCTTCTTACCTCCTTCTTCTTCTGCCTCCCCACTCAGCTATTTCTTCTTCTTACTCCCCTTCTTTCTGCCCCCCCCCTCTTCTTCTTCTTACCCCCCTATTTTAACTGCCCTCCCCCCCTCTTCTTCTTCTTACTCCCCTTCACTTCGCATTCTCCACCTCTTCTTCTTCTTGCCTCCCCTCATGGGTGCTGTACTCCCCTCTTCTGGCCTTCTTCTTGCTCCTCTTCTTCTTCTTCGCCTCCCCCTTCTTCTTTGGCTTCTTACTCCCCCCTTCTTCTTCTTGCACCCCAGCACTTTCTTGCTCCCCAGCCTAACCTTCTTGCTTCCCTCCTCTTTTCTTATCTCCTCCTTCTTACTCTCCTTCTTCTTCCTCCTCCCACTTCTTCTTCTTCTTCCTCCCTTCTTCAGCCTTGCTCACCCAGCTATTGCCCCACCCCCCTCTTTCTTACCCCCTCTTTTCTTCTCCCCTTCTTTGGTTTCCCCTCTTTTTCTTGCTCACAGCCTGCTAGCACCCCTACATTTCTTATCTCCACCTTCTTCTTACTCCCCCCTCTTTTACTCTCCCTGCTTTTTGCTCTCCCCCTCTTCTTCTCTCCCCCCCCTCTTTTACTCTCCCCCTCTTCTTACTCCCCCCCCTCTTTTTACTCTTCCCCCCTCCCCTTCCCTGTAGCGTGGCCGAGCTCCTCTCCGGCCGCAGTGCCCGGCCGGAGTCATAGGAAGGTGCACACTCAGTGTGCACTTCCTGTCAGTCCGGCCGGGTACAGGAAACAGAAACTCCTGTTCCGCGCGGACCTGTGCACCTTCCTATCACTCCAGCCGGGCACCGCGGATCGGAGAGGAGCTCGGCCACACTACAGGGAAGGGGAGGGGAGGTGAGAAGCTGTGCTGCAGCCGCCAGAGGCTCTTAACATAGCGCTCAGGCATCTGCAGCATTAGAACCGGTCCTGCAGCGGCCGGTCTTAAAAGAATTTAGGGCGGCCTGGGGGGCAATTGCCTCCCTGCCCCCCGGCCCAGCCCGCCCCTGTAGACCAATTGTCCTATGCTCTCTTTTAAGGTTACACGGTAACCACTCACTACATCAAATTCATCCTGTACGTCAGGACACAATTCATAAAACTCTGATACGACCTTTCAACATATTCAGGTCATTCTTTTAGAATAAGCACTGCTTCTGCAGCGTTTAGTAAACATCCTAGCACACATTATAAACTGAGACATTGGAATCATCTGAATACACCAGATATCCCTCAAACGGAGAGGGAACTGAGACAGGCATTTAAAGTACTGGTTATGTAATGCCAACACGTACTAAGGATTAAATGGTTAACTTTTTGCCCTCTTTTACAGGCCTACCCGAACGTCGGTTTCAGCACACCACAACCGACTTATGCCACTACTATAACTCTGCTTATTGTCCCCGACTACCAGGGCCATCTTTAATATTGATTGGGCCCTGGGCAAGCATTTCATGGGGACCCCCTGACCCCAGGGCTGGTGCAAGGATTTTTGCCGCCCTAGGCAAAAAAATATTTGCCCCCCCCCATATGTCCTGCCCACCATGAGACATCACAATGCCCCGCCCATATGCTCTGCCATATGGGCCAACGCCAGTCTTCACAAAGTGTCTTTTATCTGAAAAGACGGTGTGTTTACATTAAAAAGCCTACAGGCACAGGCTATAGACACCAGAACCCCTACATTATGCTGTAGTGCTTCTGGTGACTATAGTATCCATTTAATGTGAGGTAAATTAGAAATTAGTGCCACTAATAATATATTGGATTGCCTACTTACCACCAGATGAGGACAAGAAGCTGATTATGGGCTCTGTCTGGCTCCACAGGCCTAGTGTGGAAGAGGCTCTCTGGAGACTGTTTTTAACAGTGCTCACAACAATTAACGAACAGAAAGCCGCACCGGTGATTCCTGGTGCAGGGATCCGGCGCCCCCTGCTAAGTTGCGCCCTAGGCAGCTGCCTAGGTTGCCTTACAGGTAGTGCCGGCCCGGCCTGACCCCTATTCCCTGACATGCAATCACACTCTCCACTTCCCAACGCAGTAGCGAAACCATTTCCCCATGCTTGCAGAGTTGTATTTAGCACTGAGCTGTGTTTGTGTGTTTGAATGGAAGCATGTTTTTGTATGGAGTATGTTTGTGTAAATGTAGGGGTGTGCTTCTCTGTGGTGTTTGAATGCAAGCATGCATCTATGTCTTGGTTTTTTTTTAATGCTGGGATGTGTATATATATTTTTGGTGTTTAACACAAAGGTGTGTTTGTATGTATTCTTGACGTTTCAATGTAGGACTGTGTTTGTATGTAGTGTTGAAGGTTAAATGCAGGGGTGTACTTGTGTGTAGTGTTGACAATTTGAATGATGAGATGTAACACACACAGATACACACACACACTGAAACACATGCAGATACACAGATATAAACACTGACACTCACACTGACACACATGCAGATACAGACTGACACAGATACACACACCAACACATACGGACACACAGATACACAACCTGACACACAGAGAGACATATATACAAACACGGACACATATGGATACTCAGACACACTGATGCATATACTGACACACATGCAGATACACAGATAAAAACATTGGCTATATACAGATGCACACACAGATATACACACGCAGGTACACACACTGACAACATACAGATACACAAATACATACAATGATAACATACTGATACACACACTGATACACATAGAGACACGCAGATACACAACCTGACACACATGCAGATACAGATACACACAGACCACATAGAGAAACATAGATATACTAAATACAGATACACAGATATACACACTGACACACACACACACAGATATACATACTGACAACATAGAGATACACACTGACAGACATACTGACATAGTGACACACACTGACAGACATACTGATACACACACACACACACAGATACCCTGACATACATACTCACACACATACACACGCATACTAAGACACACAAAGACATACTAAGACATACACAGACATACTGACACACAGAAATACTGATACACACACATACATACTGACACACATGCAAAGTTTACATTTTTACACACTAACAGACATACTGACATACTGACATACACACTGACCAACTGAGACGCACACTGACAGACAAACTGACATGCATAGACAGACATACTGACACACACAAAGACATACTGACACACAGACTTAGTGACACACACACATATGCCCTGACAGACATACTGACACACACAGACACCCTGACAGACATACTGCCACAATGACAGACATATTGACACACACACAGACAGACTGACACACCCACATACGTCCTGACAGACATACTGCCACACACACAGACATACTGCCACACACAGTGGCATACTGACACACACACATACACCCTGACAGACATATTGACACACATAGACTGACATACTGACACCTACAGACACCCTGAAAGTCATACTGACACACACACAGACATACTTACACACACACAGACATACATACAGACATAGTGATACACACACATATGCCCTGACAGACATACTGACACACAGACATACTGACACACAGAGACAACCTGACAGACATACTGCCACACTGACAGACATACTGCCATGACTGACAGACATTCTGACACACACACAGACATACTGATGCACACACACACAGACATACACACAGAAATGGTGACACAGACATCCTGACAGACATACTGTGACAAACTGCCATTTGCCACTGGGCATTGGAGAGGACTGATTACTAGCCTCCTGCCACATGACTATGGCACTGGGATATATGGCATTTGAAAACACTATTTGTGCCCTGTGACAAAACTGGAGATTGTGCACAAATATGACTATTGTCCATATTTTTTATGATTCCCTTCGTTTGTTGCACTGTTCCCCATGTGTTTCATCTGTTGGTTCGGCTGGATAGACTATCAGACAAACTGTGGAGTTACGGGGTGGCCACCATTTCATGTATCAGAGGCACATGGTGAGAACAATGGATGAAGCACATGGTGAGAAAAATGGATGGCGGCCATTTTAACTCACAGACACTGTTTTGACTTTTCTACACGGTGCCATCTCGCCGGTATTTGGTAAACAAAGACATTGTTCAGAAGTTTTAAACTATAGAACAGGGGACACATTTAACATTAATTATTTTTCATATAGCCTGTATATGGTCTGCGGAATCTGCATTAAACCGTATCTTCCAAAGAACAGATCTGGGTGCATTTTGGATATGTGGTTCACCCAGATCCCCCGGTTTCTGAGGATATATTTTTGGGGTTATTGCATGTTTTGGGGTCCCTGTGATATGCTTTATATTACTGTATTTTCCTGCCTGTGATAATTAAGTTAGTCTATTGTGTTGAGATAATTGTATCACAGGCAGAGGGGAAGATTTCTGATGTAATGAATGGGAGTGTTAGCTGTGTTGTAATGTGTTGATTGGTTGTTCTTCAAAACCCTGTGGGCAGTACTATGTTTGTAGAATGTGAATAAAAGAGGCTGTATGTGCCAGTACAGTCAGTTCTTCTTGACCCTCAACACGTAGTCTTGTCTCGTGATTGGAGGGGACAGCTATACTCACACTGGGGATTGCTATGCTCTGCATACTCCCCTGAGCTTTAATCACGTAGTCTTGTCTCGTGATTGGAGGGGACAGCTATACTCACACTGGGGATTGCTATGCTCTGCATACTCCCCTGAGCTTTAATCACTTAAAGCTCTTTTAAGAGCTTGTTCCTGATACGCTCTCCTGGAGGAGAGGTCTTCACCACACGGTCCTGGAGGACAGAGGCTGATCCAGGGTGGAAGGAAGATGGCGAGACTCCAGTTAAGCTACGGCAGTTGTGGAGTCTGCAGTGGTTGTGGTGTTCGGTGCGGTGCTTGTGGTACTCGGCGCAAGCTAGGAAGCGTCCATCAATGGAAGGTACTCGGTCGGAGTACGGGGAGTTCCGTTACATCACACACATACATACTGACTCACACAAATACTGACACACACACACACAAAGTTTACATTTATAAAGCCACCCTCCAGCCCTACCTTATGGGTTCAGGAGGGTGGTTCCCTGGGTCCAGTGGCATGCTGCGGTAGAGTTGGGCTCTGACAGCTCCCTCCTGACTGCCTTTTCCTCCATCCTGTGCGGCTACACTCTATCTGGGAGGAAGTGACTCATGGCAGTCACTTTCTCCCAGCCTGCTGCCGTAAAACAAGAGGGCCCGGTCGTGCTCTTAAAGGGCCACAGCGCTCGACTGGGCCCTCTCAGTGTGTGGGCTCCAAGTGCAGCTGCAGCACCGGCGGGCCCATGCGGCAAAAAAAAAAATTGGGGGCGGACAGCGGGGCCTACAGGGTAGCTACTTTGGGCCCCCCAGGAGTAACTGGGCCCGGGGCAGCTGCCCCGTTTGCCCCGCTTTAGAGACGACCCTGCCGACTACAAATGGAAAGGCGGAGTGTGTAGTTGTGGGAGGGGTTTATCCAGCCTATAAATTCACAGGTCTCCCCTTCCTGTGGGCTGAGACTTCCTGGTTCAGCCCACCCACCACACTCTTTATTAAGCATTCACTAAGTGGGCCCTCTTTTACAGGCCTACACAAATGTTGGTTTTGACACAACACAACCGACTTATACCACTACTATAAACTCGGCCTATTGTCCCCAACTACAAATATATATATATTCTACAACTTTTGGGCACTAAAATGCCTCTAAAAAAGTCCTGGAAAGGGCTAGAGGGCTGTAAAAGGACATAGGGAAATCACTTAAAATAACATAAAATACATAAAAAATAAAAATACAGCTGAGCCATAAAATAGCATTAGATGACATCTTTGATTTTAGCTTTGGAAGAACATAAATCAAAATCTAAAGCATGGCTGTCAGGAGGATCACCAGAATTATCCATTTGAGAGAGGGTTGGAGTGCAGGGTATTCTCTTTCATTGTTCAAACTGTTGTTCAACTCCTGATGCATGCAGAAAAGGCTTTCACAAGCCTCTGCTATTGTGTACATAGTTTATACTAAGTGACCCATAGGTTGAGGAGGCGGTGACCGTGGCGGTGTAGGTGGAAGCGGCGGTGGAGGAGGAGGAGGTAGCCAACACTGTTTTTTTTTTGTTTTCGTTTTTTTGTATTTTTTTTTTTTTTTTATTGGGCTAGCCCCCCAAATATTGAGATATATAAAAAAAGAAAGAATAAGTGCACTTGAGTATAACAATGGCTGGGTGAGGCCGGTATAAATGTCATTTCTGCATAAGGTACAGACAAGTCTGGTGGGATCCATGCCTGGTTCATTTTAATAAACGTGAGCTTGTCCACGTTGGCTGTGGACAGGCGGCTGCGCTTGTCTGTGATAACGCCTCCTGCCGTGCTAAACACACGTTCAGACAATACACTGGCTGCAGGGCAGGCCAGCACCTCCAAGGCATAAATGGCAAGCTCAGGCCATGTGCCCAATTTGGAGACCCAGAAGTTGAATGGGGCAGACCCATCAGTCAGTACGTGTAGGCGTGTGCACATGTACTGTTCCACCATGTTCCTGAAATGCTGCCTCCTGCTAAGATGTTTCATATCAGATGGTGGTGCTGGTTGTTGTGGCGTGCTGACAAAGTTTTTCCACATTTCGGCCATGCTAACCATGCCTTCTGAGGTGCTGGCGGTGCCCCAGCTGCGTTGGCAACCTCTTCCTCCTCCTCTGCCTTCGCCTTGTGCTTCCATTGAGCCCCCGGTGTCAGTTGGGAATGTCCTCAGCAGCGCGTCTACCAGCGTGTGCTGGTAGTCACGCATCTTACGGTCACGCTCCAGTGAGGGAATTAAGGATGGCACGTTGTCTTTGTAATGGGGATCCAGCAGGGTGGCCACCCAGTAATCAGCGCAGGCGAGCAGCAGCAGGGTGAGAACGCTGAAAGCACGCACAAACGGCCCGCACTTTCTGCAGCAGCTCTGATATATCTGGGTAGTTTTTCAGGAATTTCTGCACCACCAAATTCAGCACATGCGTCAGGCAAGGGATATGCGTCAAACCAGCTAGGCCCAGAGCTGCTACAAGATTTCGCCCATTATCGCACTTGAAGGCCGGGCTTGAAGCACAGTGGCAACAACCACTCATTGGTCTGTTGTTCCATGCCCGTCCACAGCACCTGCGCAGTGTGGGGTTTTTACCCCAAACACATGAGTTTTAAAACAGCCTGCTGTCGTTTCACCCTGGATGTGCTGAAGTTGGTGGTGAAGGTGTTACACTGACCGGATGAGGAGGTGGTAGAGGAGGAGGAAGCGGAGTAGGAGGAGGAGGCAACAGGAGGAGGCAACAGGAGGCAAAGAGAAATGCCCTGCAATCGTCGGTGGCGGAAGGACATGCGCCAAACTGCTATCCGCCTCAGGCCCAGCCGGCACTACATTTGCCCAGTGTGCAGTTAGGGAGATATAGCGTCCCTGCCCATGCTTACTGGTCCACGTATCTGTGGTTATGTGGACCTTGTCACAGATGGTTTTGTCTGCCAATTGGTTGTGCAGGGAAGGGATGGCTCGCCTGGAAAAGTAGTGGCGGCTGGGAACCACGTACTGTGAGACAGCCACCGCCATCAGGTTTTTAAAACTGTCCGTCTCCACCAGATGGAATGACAGCATCTCAAAGGCCACGAATTTTGAAATGCTGGCATTGAGGGCCAGGGATAGCAGGTGGGTAGGGGCGTACTTCCTCTTTCTCTCCAGTGATTGGGAGATGGACAGCTGAATGCTTCCATGGGACAGTGTGGAGATGCTTGGGAACGGTGGCGGACGTGGTGTTGTTGCTGCCACATCCTCTGCGAGGTGGCAGGTGCCACTGTGACTCCAGAGGTGGAGGAAGAGGCCTAGACAGCAGCAGAAGAGGAACCAGGAGGAGCCTGAGACATTTCTTGATTTTTGAGGTGCAGCTTGTAATTTGCATGTAGATACCTGGTCATGCAGGTTGTGCTCAGGTTTAGCACGTTTATGCCTCGCTTCAGGCTCTGATCGCACAGCGTGCAAACCATTTATGTCTTGTTGTCAGCACATTTTCTGAAGAACTGCCACGCCAGGGAACTCCTTGGAGCTGGTTTTGGTGTGCTCGGTCCCTGGATGCGGTGGGCAGTAGCAGGCGTACTGTCTAGGGGACGGCCACTCCGCTTTTGCACCCTGCTCCCTCTAATGCTGTGCTGGTGCCTCTGTGCCTCTTCCTCCAAACTGGACACGTCACTTGCATGACCTTGATTCCATGTGGGGTCTAGGACCTCATCATCCTCCACATCATCTTCCACCCACTCCTCAACCCTGCCCTCCTTGCTGGTCTGCACACTGCAGGAAGCCACAGCAGTTGGCACCTGTGTTTCGTCGGTGGTCCTCGCTTATCCACATCCTGACACAGAAGTGGTTGTGCATCAGTGCACTCAATCTCTTCCACTCCTGCGGCTGGGCTAGGTGGATGGCCCACGGAAACCCTGCCAGCAGAGTCATCAAAAAGCATAAGAGACTGCTGCATGACTTGTGGCTCAGACTGCTTGGCTGATTTGCAAGGGGGTGAGGTGAACGACAGATGGCCATGGGCCAAATTAGCAATTTTTCCTCCCCGGTGTCATGTGACGTGTTAGTTTTACAAGGTCTCAGGTGTGAATGGGGAGCAGGTGTGTTAAATTTGGTGTTATCGCTGTTCACTGGAAGTTCAACATGGCCCCTCATGGCAAAGAACTGATCTGAGGATCTGAAAAAAAAGAATTGATGCTCTACATAAAGATGGCCTAGGCTATAAGAAGATTGCCAAGACCCTTAAACTGAGCTGCAGCACGTTGGGCAAGACCATACTGCGGTTTCACAGGACAGGTTCCACTCAGAACAGGCCTCGCCATGGTCAAACAAAGAAGTTGAGTGCACATGCTCGGCGTCATATACAGCGGTTGTCTTTGGGAAATAGATGTATGAGTGCTGCCAGCATTGCTGCAGAGGTTGAAGGGGTGGGGGGCCAGCCTGTCAGTGCTCAGACCATACGCCGCACACTGCAAATTGGTCTGCATGGCTGTCGTCCCAAAAGGAAGCCTCTTCTAAAGATGATGCACAAGAAAGCCCGCAAACAGTTTACTGAAGACAAGCAGACTAAGGACATGGATTACTGGATCCATGTCCTTTGGTCCGATGAGACCAAGATAAATTTATTTGGTTCAGATGGTGTCAAGTGTGTGTGGCGGCAACAAGGTGAGGAGTACAAAGACAAGTGTGTCTTGCCTACAGTCAAGCAGGCATACCTGGGACATTGCAGTTTGCCTAATTCAAATTCTTTAGCTTCTAAAAAGTTAATTTGGGGCCTGCACTTCATATCTGAGAATCAAATAGAACCATCAAATAAATACTGTGCATTTGCGGCCTGCGGTGCACATCATATCTGAGAGTCAAATAGAACCGTCAAATACTGTGCTTACAGCGCATTTTTAAACATTCAAATTTTTTAGGTGCTAAATTGTGCCTTTGGGGCATGCACTTCATATCTGAGAGTCAAATAGAACCGTCAAATACTGCTGTGACATAGCAGTTTTAAAAAATCAAATTCTTTAGGTGCTAAATAGTAAATTGGGGGCCTGCACTTCATATCTGAGAGTCAAATAGAACCGTCAAATAGTGCTGTGACATTGCAGTTTGACTAATTTACATTTCTTTGGTGCTAAAAAGTACATTAGTGGCCTGCACTTCATATCTGAGAGTCAAATAGAACCGTCAAATAGTGCTGTGACATTGCAGTTTGACTAATTCACATTTCTTTGGTGCTAAATAGTTCCTTTTCGGGCCTGCACTTCATATCTGAGAGTCAAATAGAACTGTCAAATACTGCTGTGACATTGCAGTTTGACTAATTCACATTTCTTTGGTGCTAAATAGAACATTTGCAGCCTGCGGTGCATTTCTTGCAGTCCAATAACTTTAAAAAAAATTAAAACATTGTTGACTATTGGCGGTTACATTGTCGCCTGACATAAACCATCTGTTAGTTTGGTGGGTGAACGCAAAGAATGAGGAGAGCGTCAAATAAGGGACGTGGCCCTGGTTGTGGTGCTGCTGGTGTTGGTGGAGCTCCTGTTGCAAGGAGAGGATGTGGTCGATCTGTGCCAGCTACACTCACAAGTGAAACACCTTCCTCAGGTGCGAGTATGCGACAGACATTAGACATTAATGGCTGTGTGTTGAGTTATTTTGAGGGGACAACAAATTTACACTGTTATACAGGCTGTACACTTATTACTTTACATTGTAGCAAAGTGTAATTTCTTCAGTGTTGTCACATGAAAAGATATAATAAAATATTTACAAAAATGTGAGGGGTGTACTCACTTTTGTGAGATACTGTAATCTAAACACCTCCCTGGTGAATATACCGGCCATATCTTTGGAAGAAGGTAACTTAACAAGTGACACAAAATGAGTCATCTTAGATAATTTATCAACGATCATTAGGATGACCGTTTTACCTTTGGAAGGAGGAAGGTCAACAATAAAATCCATGGACAGATTAGACCAAGGTCTTTGGTATAGGTAAAGGTTGTAATAACCCACAAGAAACCCTGTGGGAGGACTTCATGCTGGCACAAGTGACACATGCTTGTACGTAATTTGTGGTCCTTCCGCATAGAGGGCCACCAAAAGTTCAGTGAAACTACAATTACAATTTTAGAGATACCAGGATGCCCAGCTGTCGTAGAATCATGATAGAGTGACATCATGTCTTGTCTTTCAGTGAGAGCAACATAGCAGGTTTTTCCTTTGATGCCCTGTTTTGTTTGGTTTGTATAATTTGTAGAATAGACGAAGAAATAGCAGCAATTATCCTGTCAGGCGGTATGACAGGAGTGAGATCAAATTTTTAACAGTTATTTCAAACTGCTCAGACAGAGCATCTGCTTTGGTGTTGCGGTCACCAGGTCTACAGGTAATTACAAAATTGAAGTGTGATAAAAACACCTAGCCTGTCTAGAAGACAACCTCTTAGCTTCGCTTAAATAAGAAAGATTCTTATGATTCGTTAAAATGATAACAGAATCCTTCGAACCCTCCAGGAGATGAAAGTACAAGGAGTGATGCAGCGCCTAACGTGTCCTTAAAAATATATATATAAAAGCAGGGAGAAAAAGAAAAAAATGGAAAATATATAGTGTAGTATGTCCCTGTCCAAATAAATAGAATAAAACAAAAGAAATACACTTACAATTTCCTGGAGCTAAATTTGTAGCTCTAACTTGAATGCCTGGGCGGAACAATCCCCGCCTATGGCTATAGTGTGGTTCTTGTTGCAGTCACTCAAATGGTGGAAACATAAGCAACTCTTTGGTTATGGGCTTAGAATGTTATAGTGTAGTGCCCACTTGTAGGTATAGATAATGGTCTTTTCCTTCCAGAAATGTTGGTGAAAAAGGAAAAAATAAAAACCAAAATAGTGTTTACCATAAGGCACAGAATACAATTAAAGTGATAAGAAATTTACTCACATTTGATGGAGCAGATGTGGACTGCTCTATCCCTCGGGCTTGGGTGGTACAATCCCCACCACGGATACGGTAGTTCAAGCAGAATAGCAGCAAAGGTTGGTAAAATAAAAAAGTACTTTTATTTAAAGGTAATTTATATAAAAATATAAAACAAGAAAAAATACACTCAAAGTGAGCTAGATAATAATAAATACACGTAACAGGAGATGCCTTTACTCTTTGAGTGCTATGATGATGGCAAGGAGTTCCCTGTTGCCGAAATTGTAGTTCCCTTCGGCCTTTAACATTTGCTTGGAAAAAACCCACAAGGATTTCTGTGGAGGCGGGAGTGCTTGAGCCACGCACAGCTTGAGCAGATGACCCCGGCCGGCCCTCGGATAAGTTAAGTACTGCCACAATTAGAAATTCTAAATTAAAGGGATACTATCAAAACAACTTTAGCTTAATGAAGCAGTTTTGGTGTATACATCATACCCCATGCTGACTCACTGCTCAATTCTCTGCCATCTAGAAATTAAATAACTTTTTTTAAAATTATTCTTTATTTTAAGAGTGCATGGATATACAATACATATTCTCGTCATGCCCCAACAGCATTGATAAGTCTATGACAAAAAATTATAATAATTGGTTAGCATGAATGAGGATAAAAAGAGAAACAAAAGAACAGTACAATTTTATGGTGCGACATACATATTAAGTGTTCCTGTCCAATTGGTCGGTGCATATAATATTTGTCTGGTAGGAACCTTTTTTTTTTCCTTAATATTTGTCGTACAGATTTTATTTTGCATTTACTGTGAATTGTAACACGTATACAGAAAAAAGAGGAGGGTTAATGCAGGGTAATTACCACGATTCTGCATTTGCCTTTGCAATACCAGCTTTTCAGTGCACAGTCAGGCATTTTTGAGGATGTTGCTGTCCCCCAGCGGGACAGTGGTTTAGAGTGTGTTTTGCCTCTAAGTCTTCTAAGGGTGAAGTGGTGTGGGAGTACACCCCGGTTGGTGGGCATGGAGAGGTCCTGTGGACATCTGTTGACTGGGGCATAGTCCCTGTTCAGTTGTCTCTGTCCATCCTTCATGGTGTGCTTTGACTGTTGACCTGGTTTGTGGTCTATGGTGGTTAGGTGAAAGGTATTCAGCTTAGGTGTAGGGTGGTATAGGGGTGGGAGAGGGTGTAGGGGTGGTATAGGGGTTTGGAATCGCCGCTGCACGTGTCCCCTTCCAGGGGGGGAGGAGGGTGGTCCAATGTGGTCGTTTGTGCATCCGTTGGTTTGTTTAGGGTCTGACTAGTATCTGGGTCCCTATTTATGTGAGTCTTACCAGGGTAGGGACGTGTCTCCTTCTAACCATGGGTCCCAGATTTTATGAAATTGTTTGGGTGTGTCGTGTATTAATGAGGTGAGTTTGTCCATGTGCAGGCCGTCCTGTATCTTTTTAGCGATAGTTGTCTGTGTGGGAATACGGGTTGTGGACCAGGTTTCTGCGATCGCTCTCCGTGTTGCCAGGGCTATTCAGGCGCTCATTTTGTTTTCTGCTCTAGTAAGGGTCTCTACAGGTTTAGAGAGAAGAAGGGCCCAAGGATCCATGGGATAGAGTTTATTCAGGAAATTAAATTACTTTTATTTCTTTTTACACAGCCCTAGCCACACCTCCTCTGGCTTTGACTCACACAGCCTGCATGAAAATAAAACATTTTAAGTCAGATGTTAACTTGCTTTAGAATGTTTTATCTCCTGCTCTGTAAAGTGAACTTTAGTCTCATACTGTAGGCTCATGCAGGCTCTAGCAGGCTATTAAAAGAGTTTGAGATAAGAAATTCTAGATTAAACAGACTGTGCAATATAGGAACCTAGAATATATAGTTTCCTTTTTTAGAAAATGTTTAGGAAGGCTGTGCAAGTCACATGCAGGGAATTGTGACTAGAACTGAGAACTATATAAATATAGTGATTTGACTCCAAAATTGGAGGGGATTGAACTGTGAGACTGCAGGGGCATAATCTATACACCAAAACTGCCTCATTAAGATAAAGTTGTTTTGGTGCGTATAGTATTCCTTTAAGCATACTGCAACATAAAGGAAGTTTAAACATTTCACATCTCTGAACAATAAATGTGTAGGGAGACTGTGTAGGCCACTGCAAGGTAGGTGTGACAAGCAGCTACATAAACAAAGGGCTTTAATATCCTAAATGGCAGATAATTGAGTAGTGACATTGCAGGGCATGAGGGACGCGAGGGGCCTGCCACTATAGTTTCCCTTTAAGTTGTAAAATCTAAAAGCACATGGGTACCAGGTGATTTTCCTGTCACAATTATAACTTAGTTAAAGTTAAATACCCTAATAGAGATACATGAATAATCATTGAACAAATCAGAAATTGTGAGGTATTTATGCTAGGGTTGTGCTGGCACGCCAGACCCTTACTAATTTGTTGAGTCTAGGTATTGTAGCAATTATGTGTCCAGTAACTGATACTGTAGAAAAAATAAAGTTACAAAGATTGAAAAAGCACAATTAGTGATATTGTCACTATTTCTGAATCAGTTTGCCATTGTATGTGTAGCGATCTCTGTTCATCCATCTATGTATTTTAGTCTGTGTTTCTGTCTGCTTTATATGTCATGTTATGTGTCTGTCTATACATTTGTCTCTGTTTAAGTGTGTTAGGACGAATGTTTTTTTGCATGACATACCTTCCTGACAAAACGTGTTTCTTTCCCCATAAACATAGCCGTTGATAACCTTTCATTATACAAAGTTAATCTGTACTCATTGGCATCATGCTTACTTGATCTCCATATGTTCTATATTTCATACACTTTGACAGATCTGAATTTACAGCTGAACTAAAAAAAAAACAGATTTAACTGTGGAACTGGATTGCAAAACAGTCAGTTCATATAGTTCATTATATATAAATAACATTTGCAGTAAATTATAAGTGAATTTGCATATATAATTGTTGGAAGACTGACTGCTGGAAAATAAGTCAGAAAGCTATGAGAACTGTATTTATTTTAGAAAGAACAAGATTATTAATGTTTAGTGTAAATACATGCATAAACATCAATATAAAATGGCTGCTTCATTTTATCCTTTCATCCAATGTGTGGAGAATGTGTGGCCTGTCTCAAGGGGCATGGTAAGTGTTTGAAATTCTATTTCACATAATATTATAAGGGAAAAATTATATGATGCATTGGGTTAGGCACTAAATTAATATTTTAGTTGAAGAACGGTTAGTGTCAAATGTACTGGCCATCCCACCGCCACTGAGCTTGATAAAGAACCAGTATGGTTAAAGCGTTGCTGCTTTTGCCCCAATAAAGCAGCTATTTTTGTTATCCCGGAGTGAGTTAACCGTTATTTATTCTGCATATCCCACTGCCACTGTCATGGTGAGTTTTGGGGACTTTTGAAGTAACAATCTAAACACATAAAGCATATAGTTTGCTGAAGTGCTTTATGTATGAAGAGTACATCCTCTATTTCATTCTGTAAAAGTGCAAATTCCTGCCTTATGTGGATATTTTTGTAAATGCACTTCGAAATTTCATGTATTTTAAAGTTAAAAGATAAATTTTGAAATTTTGAAGGCAGACATTTCAGTTTTAATGGCTTTTGGCAATGTGTATGCTCCTATTTCAATTACAGTACATAAAATATGCATAATAAACTTTTAAGAGACTTCAAATAAGCGTTGCTTGCAGAACCATGCTTACCGCCATCAAAGCAAACCTTTTAAATCTGTTCATTCTGTTAGTTAGCATTTAAAGGAACAATACAGCTTTGGGAATACAAACACGTATTCCTAATGCTTACTAACATCATTTTGCTCCCTTATTGTACAAGAGTAATAATTTGTTTGGCCCAGCATAACAAAATGCAGATAACAATACTAAAATATTCCTAAAAACTATTTATATCTATATGTACTATCTAAGGCTACTAAACTATTAAGTTTCATCAAAATGCATTCATAAAAAAAAACACGTAAAATGGCATAATTTGAATGTCCAAGTTAAAGTGCTGGGTACCACAGTTCAATTTTACCTTAACCTAAGTTGCTCCCCAGGCCCCATCCTAATTCATTTCCACTATAGCCACTATACTGCAGCCACTATACTGAGCAGAGAAGAAAAGCATTAGTGCGATACACCAAAATGCAATTAGCCCCCAAAACAACATCACTGAGATTAAGTTATTTTTGAGTTTTTTCATGGCTTTGAAATACTATACTGTCAATAAAAGGATGTTTATGGATGGAGTCAAGGAAATCGCTCAGCTCACACTGATATATCATTGGTTGAGCTACACTGTTCCTGTAAGCCTGTACCTGAAAACGTTGCAAGTTTAGAGAAACTGCAATGTTTTCATTGCAAGGTTAAGACCTCCTCTAATGGGGTAGTTAGCAAAACGAAATATTTTTTTGTGTTTGAATGTGTATAGAAAGGCACAGTGTGAATATGAGGTTTAAAAGGAAAACCAATATAATGCTCATAAAAGGATACTCCAGACATTTAATCTTTATGCATGCATAACTAAATGCATGCATGTTTTTCTTAGGGGTATATCTACTAAATAACATTTGTTTATTTTTGTATTTTGACAGCGGAGAGTCACACGGACACTATAGTCACCTGAACAACTACAGCTTATTGTATTTGTTCTGTTGAGTATGATCATTCCCTTCAGGCTTTTTGCAGTAAACACTGTATTTTCAGAGAAAAGGCAGTGTTTTCATTATAGCCTATGGATACCTTCACTGGCCACTCCTCATATGGCTTCTAAAGGTGCTTCCTGGGGCAGCAACACTGATATTCAGTGTCTCCACCCCCTATATTTAAGGGGGGAAAGAGGGGCTAGATTGTGTTTTTCACACTGTAGGGTCAGGAATAGATGTCTGTGTTCCTTTAAGGTTTGCTGATGCCCAGTGTGTTTCTTTGATTATTCAGTCTGATATCTAGAGCATGTGAAAACTTCTAGTTTTTATTGCTAAAGCCCATGCCAGAGGGTCAAGTGCAATAAATGCTATGGTACTAGGACATTGTAAAGATGTTAGAACAGGAAGGAGCAGAAACAAATGGGGATGATAAAAACCTGTTCCTGTTCTAACACTCAGGGCCGGCGTGTCCATAACGTGGCTCCCCTAATTGCAGCCATCAACCTACTTAAGCCCCTAACCCCCCTACTAGAGACCCCCAAAACATTTCCTAACCACCCTAATTACAACCCATACCCACCACTAACCCTCAACTACAACCCCTGCCCCCCTACTTCAGTCTGTAGTCCTCTACTAGAGCCCCTAACTCCTCAATTACAGCCCCTATCACCCCACTACAACCCACTACCAGGGCCCCTCCTGAGATCAGGATCCACCCCTGCTTTGTACCCCTGTGTATGTCTCTGCATGACTTGTTCTGTATGTCTCTGTATGACTGTGTCCGTTTGTCTTTGCATGCTTGTGTATGTATGTCTCTGCATGCCTGTATGTTTCTGTATGTCTTGTTATGTATGTCACTATATGCTTGCATCTTTATGTCTCTGTATGACTGTAATGATTAGGGAGATAGATACAGTATAATGTATGTAGAATGTATAGGTTAAATGCGATGAGGAGGATGCAAGGTGGAATGTAGAAAAAAGAAGAGGGTGATGAATTAATCTGAAGAGAAGAGGCAAAGATCAGACAGAAGGAGTGACTAAATTTTAGGGAAGAAATAACACATTGAATGGGTATTACATTATTGATGTTTTGGACCTGAGGCCAAATGTTACATGTGGGCATAGACGTGCGCATGGGGTGTGCCTGGGCACACCCTAATCCCCGCGGCCCGCGTATGGATCGAGGCTGGCAGGGGAGATCACAGGATCTCCCCTATGACTCCATGCAGAGCCGGCGCTATCTGAGTGCTGGCCCTGCTGTGTGTCTCCATGGGCCAGTGGGAAGATCTCGCGAGAGAGCCCTGCATGCTAGCGTTCACTCACCACTAGGACCACCAGGGATGGCAGCAAGGATCCCCCCTCCCAGGTAAAAGATAATCTGCCCCCCCCCATACACAATAACTCCAAACAAATACACACACACAACACCCTCACACACAGCACATTAACAGCACCCTTTCACACAGCACAGTAACAGCACCCTCACACACACACAGCACACTAACAGCACCCTCACATCACACTAACAGCACCCTCACACACACACAGCACCCTTAAACACACACACACAGCACCCTCACAACACACTACCAGCACTATCAAACACACACAGCACCCTCACACACACAGCACCCTCACACACACCGCACCCTCACAGCACACGACCAGCACTCTCTCACACACACACACGCACACTAAGAGCACCCTCACACGCACAGCAGTGTATGTATGTCTGTGTATATATATAGGAATATATATACACAGACATACATATACACGCGGCATGTGTGTTTGTGCTTTAGGGTGCACACCCTAATGCAATAGGCTGCGCATGCCTAAGCATGTGGGTAACATACAGCCATTGGTGGGAATGAAGGGCTGGGAAAAAGAACACTGGATGCTCCAGGTAGTATGCAGTATAGAGAGTTTTTTATGTAGCAAAAATCGATACCGCATGTGACTTATTGTCATTATGTACAAAATCCTACCAACATTCTCCTCTTTTCAGACTTCATGCTTGCCTTGATCCCAATATTCAGAGATGAACCCTACACTACCTGTCAGTACAATTTATGACAGTACTGCGACCAGTGGATACCAAGTGATTTCTGTTGTTTGCCTGCTTTGAACTTAAAACCATGACATTAGTACAGCGGGGAAGTATAGGACCTCAGGCCCATTATTTTATTTTCAGAAGCAACTCAGTTTCCACACATTTTCCTCTGAAGAGAGGAAAACCGCATACAGTACAGGTGCATTCATACAGAATACGGGACATTTTCATATTGTAGAGAAGCAAGTAAAACTAATGCACTGCATTATTTTTTTCAAATGCATCTTTTACATTCAAAATACTCTTTATATAATACCATGTTTACCATTTTACATGTTTTACAGATTGACGCACTGCCAGGGCTGAGCTTAGTTAGACAATAACAAGCAGTACGATCACGAGTGATCTAGGTATGTTTAAAATGTAATTGTTCTGTGTACGTTCAATGTTATTAATAATTTATCATTGGTAATATTTTGGTATTAAGTATTGCTTTATTTTCTAGAACAGAATCAATTATGTTTAATAGACAATTATTCAGATTTTTTTATTGACTTTACTATGTTTACTTTTTTATAATATTGCTTTGATGTCTCTGCAGTATTACCAAATTCTCATCTATAAAAATGTTTTTTATTTATGGTTGCATGTATATATTCCATTGTGTGCACTATAATTACACCTGTTGTAGCAAAAGTGTAAAGAGACAGTTTGCAAGGACTGGCCAAGTCTATAATTTCAACATTCAGGAGAACTAAAGGGTCATTTTCAGGAGGTAAAACACTTTAACATCATTTTAAATGTGGTGGTGCATGGTTAAAAGAGGGATTTGATGAATTACTGAAGGAAGGAGAGCCTGAGAATTTTGCATACTTTTTTTTTTAGGACTTGAGCCCTGTTCAAAAATTTTTCTGTATTATTAAAATTCAAAGGTTTTTTTTTTACCCTGATATCTCTAATGTTTTTCTTTTCCTGGTGTTGATAATTAGTTACATGTTGCACTTTAATACCCAATTAGTTTAATACCTGCACCACCATCATTCACTCTAGCCTTACTCTATGACTGTACTTATTCACTATTATTTACTTACATAGTTGAAAAGAGACTTGCGTCCATCAAGTTCAGCCTTCCTCACATATGTTTTTGCTGTTGATCCAAAAGAAGGCAAAAAACCTAGTTTGAAGCGCTTCTAATTTTGCAACAAACTAGGAAAAATTCCTTCTTGACCCCAAAATAGCAGTCAGATGTCTCCTTGCTATTACCCCACTAATTAGAATTTGTTTTTTTTACTTATTTACTGCCCATCATATGTTTCCTCAACTTCCACTGCTAACACTAGGTTTCACAAGGATATTAGATACGTTGGAATTAAATCACTAAACAGTGAGTCATAGTGAGTTAAAAAATAACTTAAAAACAAATTCTAAAATGGCCGCACTGGAAAAGTTTTAGAATTTTGGACTATAGTATCCAAGTCTGTGGTCAGCTAGATATAACTCATTGTAGAATAAACTAACCAGTTGTGATACTTCAGTTCCAGTATGTATATATATATATATCTATATATATATATAGATATATATATATATAAAAATAAAAAATAGAGTGAGAGAGACTGCACAAAATCATTACATTTTGGATAGATGATAACTTTGGTATATACAGAATACCATGCACTCCAAATATGGTCACCTACCCTATCTCAGCCATATTAATGGCATGGACAGCTGCGTATAAGACAATATACCACTACTTATCCAGTGTTTCAATCTTTCTGCATATCTACAGCCTATACACTAAAGCTTTTACCCTGTACCAGACTGAACAGATTGTAATTAAATATCAGCAAGACGAGGGCTTCCCAAAAGCTACTTCCAGCTGTTCTACAACTACGATCCTATGATTCACAGCCAGCCGCTGGTTAGAAATGTTCCCTTTTAACAGGCTGGGTAGATTCACTGGAACCTTAGAACTAATAAACTGCAGTACAAAATTCCAGTTTGAATAAGTCTAGTAGATTGTTCATAACTGCGTGGCTAATATATTTGTTTCTGAAATCCACATATTTCTATAGTAAGGCACATATTATTTTAATTTCAATAAATATATAATTGCAAGATTAGATTTTGCAATATGCACATGAAAAAAAAAAAAATAAGGAAAAAGTTGTAACACCAAGTTCCGGGTGTTAAATTTATATAGTACTCATTAGTATTTTTTTCATCTGTTCTTTTCTTTAGGAAATATTTGACCGATTACCCTTAGGAAAACTCGTGTTTAGTAATAGTGTTGTGTTCTAGTAGTGCATGATACATAAAACTATTATTATCATATTTATTTAAAAAGAAATCAGAAAAAGAATACAACAAACTGACTCAATAATATTAACTTTTAACAACTATATCACATAATAAATTGATCCACATGCATGACCAATGGATCATCCTTCAAAAAAAATAAAAGCAGTGAAGGACTATCTGCAATAGATGGATTTATCATGCAAGACTATTGGTATTCACCAGCTCAGAAAATATATAGGAAAAATAAAATCAGCATGAAATGGGTAATAGAAATGACACAATTAAAAGAAAAATAATGTTTTGAAATATTTTAGAAAATCATTCACATCCAGTCCCACAGTTTGCATACTAGAAATATCCTCGATATGGAAGTTATTTATACTATTGATTATTATTTATTTGTGTACGTAAATGAGATTCTTATGCAGTCACAGGTACCGATACAACCTACTGTTCCCATTTTCTAAAATAATTTAAATAAATTATTAAAACACTTAAATAAAGATAACTATACTTACTACTAATAACATAATATGGACCTACCTGCAGTTCTGTGTCTACAAGTGGTATTCCAGGCTCACTTGTCATCCAGTCATAAGTGCCCCTTCCAGCATGCCCAAATTTACTCCAGCTGCTGCCCAGGAGCCACCTCATGTTTCCAAGTGATGCTGTTGATGCCTAAATCACTCACAACAAGGCTCTGAGTTTCCCACAATTCCTCCTTCGCCTGCCCTGACACAGCTGGAGGCCTGTGAGCTAATGATCATTGGTATAAGTTCTTTCGTGTTATTAACAGCAGTAGGGGGGGGGAAAGCGTGGCTATTCTACTCTATCAGCCCAAGTCAATCTCTCTGGATTTGCTACGGTGGCCTACATTACCAGAGAAACTGGCATCAGGTATCAGGAAAGGGCAGTGTAGTGATTGGATAGCTTTCTGCATTAGGATTATTAAAGGAGAATTTGCCAGTGCATGGTCTGAATCCGAGCAGATAAGATTCTAAATTTAGATCCTGTAGTAAAATAAAAACAATAAATAAAAAAAAATACAAGTATTTAAAGTTATATAGTATGTGGAGCTCAGATGTAAACAGCATAGTGTGTTCTACAGAGATGAGCAACAAAGGTCATAAGCATCAAGGGCACAGTCTAAGTGGCATGCTGAATTATTTAGAACCATTAGCATTTAGATGTTAATGATAAATCTGTGGAAAGCTTTTAGCCTATAAGAGGTTCTCGTTATTTGGAAGATACGATTACGCTCAGGCTGCAAAAATCCGGTCACACAGTATTGCAAACCACAGTGTCCCTAAAGAGTAGGCCTTAACCCATTCTCTACCAGGCAGCAATGAACTTGATTCCTTGCTAGTTTCCTTTGTTGACTTTCTTGAGTCTCATATGCCATGTACCTTTTTGCAACAATTTCAAATGGTTGAATAGCCTGCCATGGAGCAGAAAATAGATTTATGTTAGAACAAAAACTAATTTTCTAAATGTAATGAATTATTTGTTTGTGAGGTCATGCTTCAAAACAAACACTCACATGAAAAATAACTGAAATAAAACATATCGAAGGGCAAACTAATCCTTTGGATTTTTCATTTTGAAAACATCAGTTATTAATACATGGGTCAGAAATGTGTTTCTTTGTTATTGAAACATTCATATTCTTAGCAGTAGTTATGTGTTATTTTTTATTATTATTGTGTTTTTTTTTATTTTTGTGTTTTAAGGAATTATAAATTCAGTCATATTGCCACTTTATCAACATAAGTTAAAATGTTTAGAATGAAAAATTCCAATAGTACTTGACAAGGTGAATATCACTATATACATGAACTAATTGTATACTGTTAGCATCAGAATCATTCCCATAAATTGTTCCATGTGATAGTAATATCAAAGCCAAAGCAATGCTTATTTATTCCCTTTTGCTCCTGTGACTACAAAAACACGTGGGATTTCACCCCTGATGACATTAGACAAGGTCCAGGTAATAAGTAATTTCATTTTAATTACCAACATATCCACTATCAATGCATGACTTTCATCTTTTGGCAATGTACAGTCATTCTGTTGTGCAAAGTCTATGGCGTGGCCTTATCATTGGTAGTGCAAGACAATGCCGCTCAAAAGTGCCAGCAGTGGGTCTGGGTCAATGTCTATCCCCCCAAGGCTGCTTATTAGTATGAACACTGTGCTCCATGGCATAAATGGGGCACTCCCACCACATCTAGAAATGGACATATATCTTGCCATAATATATAAAACATAATGGAAAGCAGTTTGGGTATATATGACGGAATTTAACAGAGTCTAAATACCGCCTTTCAATACACTTAAAGGACCACTCTAGGCACCCAGACCACTTCAGCTTAATGAAGTGGTCTGGGTGCCACGTCCAGCTAGGGTTAACCCATTTTTTCATAAACATAGCAGTTTCAGAGAAACTGCTATGTTTATGAATGGGTTAAGCCTTCCCCCTAATCCTCTAGTGGCTGTCTCATTGACAGCCACTAGAGGCGCTTGCGTGCTTCTCACTGTGATTTTCACAGTGAGAGCACGCCAGCGTCCATAGGAAAGCATTATGAATGCTTTCCTATGTGACCGGCTGAATGCGCGCGCAGCTCTTGCAAGGCGTGCGCATTCAGCCCAGGAGGAAGAACGGAGGAGGATCGGAGGAGGAGAGCTCCCTACCCAGCGCTGGAAAAAGGTAAGTTTTTACCCCTTTCCCATTTCCAGAGCCGGGCGGGAGGGGGACCCTGAGGGTGGGGGCACCCTCAGGGCACTATAGTGCCAGGAAAACGAGTATGTTTTCCTGGCACTATAGTGGTCCTTTAAGACAGTTCTATCTTATAAATGTTCAGGTGGTGAATTTCTTTAAAGGGACACTCCAGGCACCCAGACCACTTCTGCCCATTGGAGTGGTCTGGGTGCCAACTCCCTGCACCCTTAATCCTGCAAGTGTAATTATTGCAGTTTTTCTAAACTGCATTAATTACCTTGCAGGGTTAAGTCCTCCTCTAGTGGCTGTCCATGATCTATGAATAATGCTTTCCTACGGGGAGGTCTAATGTGCGCGCGGTCATTGCCGTGAATAATGCTTTCCTACGGGGAGGTCTAATGTGCACGCGGTCATTGCATTAGGTCTCCCAGTCGGCGGGGGAGGAACATGGGCAGAGCCTGACCCACCGCCGAGGGACATCGGCGCTGGATTCAGGGAGTGACTGAAGGGGTTTTAACCCCTTCAGCAACAAGGGATGGGAGGGAGGAGGCACTGCAGGGTTCTGCAGTGCCAGGAAAATTGATTTGTTTTCCTGGCACTGGAGAGTCCCTTTAAAGCACTAAAACTCAGCTTCCATCTTTCTGCAGTAATCTTTTTTCAAATTTGACAATTTTTATTGTTTTGTCATTTATCAGAAACTTGAGGGTACAGAAAAAAGAAGGAGGGGGAGGGTAGGGGGGGGGGTTGCAAGGTTTTTATTACAATCATTCCCTTGGGACACAGTCAGAGCATTGCATATATCACCATTTATCAATATTTGACAGTTGGTATTTTTACATTCCATGTCTGTGTGATTGAATATGAGGGTTAGAACCTTTTCTAATGCTTTGGTAGTAACATTTGCTATGTCGTCTTAGGGGGGTATGATATGTTCTGGGGGTTTTATAAGGTAGTTGAGGCTACAAGTTGGGTTTGCCTTACTGGCCTCTTTTGGTGTTTGGAGTGGTCGTACTCCTTGTTATCAGTTTATTTAACTTTCCTATGTGGTGGTGTAGCATTTGTTGGGGGTTCGGTCTTTGTGTGGGCTCGTGGTTTTGGCTGCAGCAATCTTTGAAGCACCTTTCCCAAAGTGAAAAACATTGATTATAACCTATCAAGGGGTATATAAAGCATTAGTCAGTTTTTGAATTTCATGTGTTGGAAGTAGAAAAAGATCTGAGTGACTTTGACAAGGGCCAAATAGTAATGGCTAGATGATATTTCCAACACAGCAAGTCTTGCGGGGTGTTTCCAGGATGTAGTGGTTAGTACCTACCAAAAGTGGTGCAAGAAACAGGCATCAGGGTCATGGGCGCCCAAGGCTCATGTGGGGAGCAAAGGCTAGACTGTATAGGCCGTACAGAAGAGTAACTGTAGCTCGAACAGCTGAAAAACGTAATGCTGGCCATGATAGAAAAGTTTCAGAACACACAATGCATCGCAGTTTGCAACATACTGGTCAATGACCTCTGTCCACCACTGAAAGCACCTTCAATGGGGACAGAACTGGACCATGGAGCAATGTTAGAAGGTTGCCTGGTCTGATGGATCACTTTTTCTTTTAGATCAGGTGGCTGGCCAGGTGCGTGTGCGTTATTTACCTGGGGAAGAGATGGCAGCAGGATGCACTATGGGAAGAAGACAGGAGGGCAGAGGCAGTGTTATGCTTTGGGCAATGTTCTGCCGGGATATTACTTTGAAATGTACCACCTGCCTAGAGATTGTTGCAGACCACGTACACCCCTTTATGACAATGTTCCCTGCATGCAGTTATTTCTTTCAGCAGGATAATACACCCGGCCACACTGCGAAAATTATTTAGAAATTATTTGAGGAACATGACAAAGAATTCAAGGTAGAGGGTAGTAGATAGGCAGCGCCAGTAATAAAGAGCAAAGTAGATAATAAAAATAATAATAATATAGTCTAAGTGATTAAAAGTTCAGTAGTAGAGATCAAGAATGTCTTTTGGGTGATTGTATGTAGAAGCCAACGAAAATGTAGAATTTGGGATAACAACTCCATAAGTTGAAGATGTTCTTACACTCCGTATGTGAAAATAAGAGACAACTAATGGTGCAGTATATTCAACAATCAGGTGTTATTCTGGGAAAAGTCTTATATGATCCTATTCTCATTTTATAGAGCTAATGGACTAGAAGGTCATTTGAAATAAAAAGGAACATCAATAGTGTTCTCTAGTTAAAATCAGAAAAGCAGAAAATAAATTATAAAGTGGTTACTCACATTTACACAAGCAGGCAGACTTCTCAATGTATAGGGCCCGAGTGGTATAATTCCCAGCTAGGATTCTTTGGAGTAATGTCTCACTGGAAGAGGATAAAACTCAGAAGCCAGGTAAAATAAGTAAAATTAAATAAATTAAAAAATATGAAAAAAACTTAAAATGGCAACCCTCAGTGAGGAACTGACCAACATACCTTTAATAAAATACAATACAGTTTACTCTTTATTACTGGTGCTGCCTATGTACTACCCTCTACCCTATTGCTTCTTCTACCTGTAAGGCCTTCTGAGGGAGCCTTACTACCCTGGTGTGCTGCCCAATTATCCATTGTTTTATCTGTACCAATACCTTGAGCGCTGACCCATCTCTACCCTTTTTTTCCTAAAGAATTCAAGGTGTTGCTTTTCCCTTCAAATTCCTCAATCTGATTTAAAATCTGTGGGATATGCTCGAACAACAAATCCGATCCATGGAAGCCCCGCCTTGCCACTTGCAGGACATAAAGGATCTGCTGCTAATATCTTGGTGCCAGATACCACAGGACACATACAGAGGTCTTGTGGAGTCCATGCTTCGACACATCAGAACTGTTTTTGGAGTAATATTGGGCAGGTGTTTTTAATGGTGTGGGTGATTTTCCTTTCCCGGCCTAGGTCTTG